ATGCCCGCCTGCACGAGGAAGTACGGCCCATTGGTCATGAAGCTGGACCCGATGACCTGCGATAACGCATTGCAGTAGAGGATGATCCGCGTGCGTCGCCAATTAACTCCCTTGAAGCATTCCAGAAAGCTGGCTTCCTTGGTTGCTTCGTTGCGCTGTTGCTCTTCCTCGTGTGTGCGGACGATGTCTGCGAGAATGAGCGGCGTCTCGGAGGCACGGTTGCCCAGTCGGGATAGCATGCGGCCAGCTTTTTCGCGCTGGCCTTTCATGACTAGGAAGTACGGGGACTCGGGCATGAATGGGAGGAAGAGGAGAATTACCCCGGGCCAGACCCAGCCAGAGGCGAAAAGGACCTGGATTATCAGTTTCTGAGGGTAATCTGAAGCAGATTGTCTTATCCATACCTTGTATGCTGCATCGCTGGACAATGACATGCGCGGAAGAGCCACAGATGCGGCGATGAGATAACCAAGGTTCTGCGAAGCCATTGTCAACACCATCGTCACTTACTAATTGACTTGAACAAACGTACCATGCAAAACGTATACCCCGAAAGAGCAATACCTCGCACCTCAAGCGAGGTGATCTCCGAAATATACGTCTGCCCCGTGGTCAGAGCCAGACCCAACGACAAGCCATTGACGATCTTTCCGGCAAGGAACGCGCCTGGAGTCGAAGCCGTGTACACGACTGCAATACCGGCGGCAGACAGACATGCTGCCACGAGGAAGGCTGCTCGACGTCCAAACCTATCCTGGATGGGACCTGCGGCTGTTGATCCGAGCATCGTGGCGACTTGGGACAGGGCATTCCACAAGGACTGCCAGTATGCGGGGATCACGTAAGAACCGTTTGTGAGGGTACCGAATGTCTGTCTGTTATTCATAATGTGAGTTACTTTAGATCCACACCAGAGGCTAGATCGTCTGTACTCACTCAAATGCAGTCATTGACAGAGCCAGCGACAGGACTAGATTATCGAAGCCGTACATCAAAGCCCCAATATTGCCATACAGGCAGAAGAGGACCACAATAGGATTCGCCCGGAGTGCTTGCCAGGTCGAACGGCCATGCTGGCTAGCTGGGTCGTGGATCCCCAATGTTCCACTGTCTGGTTGACGGGGCTGCTGGTCCACCACCTCGAGATGGCTCGACTCCGATTTCTGGTCGGTGGACATAGTGGCACTCAACGATGGACTATGCTGCTGGTTGAGTCCTGAGTGCGTTGCAATGGATGGCGCCAGAGATGTAACGAGGCTCGCTGGAAATATAGGTGAAACCCATGCCCCATAAATGAACAGGGGAGGCGACCAGGGCCCCAGTCAGGGCGGGTCTACCCCGTGGGGTACAACCTGGCAACCTGGAAGGATTCTACACTTTCACGACTTCCCGAGGAAACGGAAATGCCGGGGGCCCCTTCATGTCGGCAATTCCGGGGCTGGATCGACAAACTAGGGCCAAGCTTTCCATGGAACAGCAAGGCGATTGGCTGCGTTTCACGCGTTCTGTAGATCAGCTTGGGGCCCGAGGTGGAAAGCTTTCATATGTTCCATGCCTGATACCTCCTTAAGGAGATTTATCTCCCTATGGAAGTTCACCTGGACGTCTGGGGTTAAAAATGAGAGACATAAATTGTATGTACAATCGGTTTCATTCATTTACAAGTTTCTATGCAGTCCTACTTTGTACTCTAAGACCCCTATCAAGAAAATATTACTGGTTCCTCAGGACCCAGCACCTTTTTAACCACCTGACCAGCAACCACAATCTCCACCTGAATCTTACTCGTCGCCTCGACAGTTAGCGGCTTCCCCGGGCCCCACTGCACCTTGATATTCCCCCGAGTGGTATACAACAAGCCCTCAGCCTTAGCCACTAATTCCCTCCGAGGCTCGATGCGGACCCGCCCAAAGCCTGGCTCGGCGGGTTTCACCCCGAACAGCTGCGTGACGATCTCGTTCACCGGACTGGCGCTCCACCCATGGCAGTCGCTGCGGGCGTTCACCTCATCCTCTGCCCATGTCGTCAGGTTATTGGCCATCATGGACCGCCATGGATCCAGCATGCTGGGAAATAGCTCGCTGTATATACCGGCCTTTTCTGCTGCTCGGAAGACGTAAAACTTCATTGCGTAAGAGCATTGCGCGAGTGAAGAGTCGGTCACGGTCTGTCTGAGGAGCTGCTTTGCCGCGTCTCCTGTTACCGTCTCGCTGAGGATGGCGAATACTTGTGTGTGTTGGCTGTACTCTTCCAATCCGGGGCCATCCAGATACAGCTGGGAGTTAGACTTGCAGAGTTCCTTCACGGCTTTCTGGATACTGCGCACCCGCGCCCGGTATTCCTCCGCCGTGCTTATCCTCCCCACAAACTCGCACAGCTCTGCCGCATGTAGCAGGGCATACGCATACATCAAACTGTTGACGGTGGCTGCGCCCGCAGTATGATACGCCGGAGGCATACATGACTTGAAGATCTGGCCTGGAACGAACCAATCCTGGACCCAGTCCACGAACGGCCACGTATCCGGGTCGAATTGCCCCACTAGTCCACTCTCGTTGAGGCGATCCTCGAAATGCTGAATGATGCTATCGACTGTGCTCAGGTATCTGCGCACTAGTGCTTGATCCGCAAAATACATCATGTGGTCGTGTACCATCAGGATCCAGAATAGCGAGAACTGCGGGATCTGCTTAGAAGCGAATCCCGTTGGATATTGCGCTACGATCAATCCGTCTGGTGTTCGGCTGGCGTGGAATTCCTCGAGTGTCTTGCGGGCGAGACGGTCATCAGGGGATAATTGGTAGCTGAAAAGCAGCTGCAGTCGTGAATCTGATGCGAATTGATTCTGCTCGTAGAACGGGCAATCTTCGTACGTCTCGTGGCGGCAGTTCTGGAGTGTTCGTAGACTGATCTCCCAGATGTTGTTGAGCTCGGCACCTGTGTCCACCTTGGTGGTAATCTCTAGTGGGTATGACGTCTCTCTCAGGGATATGCTCGTCAATGTGATTGGATTGGAAGCGGTGGTTATTTCGAGTTGCACGTAGCGGAAACACCGGAACCAGAATGGCTCGAACGAGTGGGAGTCCTGTCCGGAGGTGACATTGTAGAAATCCTTCACCCCGTACAAGCGACCAGTCGCGTCAGAGCGATTACCCTTCGTTCTAGGCATGGGGAATGGCGCCGCTTCCACTCCCAGATCCTTCTCGTAACACTCTGAGTACAACACGCTGATTTGTGTGCCTGCTCCACCTCTGAAAGCGAAGTTAACAAACGCCGTCATCAGTGCGCCTACGCTGAGGTCCACCGTCACCCGTGCATCTGCTGGAATCACCACAAGCTGGTCCTCCCGAATCAGTGCATTCCAGTCGTCCTCGCTGACGGAACCAGTGGCTTTGACCACACCGTCGAACTTCCCTGGATTTTCGGGAAGATCTGGTATTGGACGCGGAGCCAGCTTCCATGGGCTCACCATAGGAAGCATTTTCACAGCATTGGACTGGAATACGGCCTTGTCCCACGCCGCGTCATCATATCCAGGCATTTGCCAGCCGGTTATGGTTTGGTCCTCCTCGACGCGTTCATTGTTGGATAGGAAGGGCGGTCCCAGGAGGTAGTTCCACTCGGTCTGCGGGATAATCTTGACGGAGCGCTGCTCGATGCACGTCCACGAGGAATCTGTGGAAATGGCGAGCTCGGGATGCGGGGAGTACAGCATGAATCCGGGCAGCGGCATGCTCACGATAGATGAGGAGCCCGGCACGAGGGTGGAATATCGCAGGACTCGAGCACTGATTACATTGTCACCGTCGCGGAGATATGGACTGATATCCACTGTCTCGTAGTACCATTTTCCCGGAAAGGACTTGCAGGGACCCCAGCTCGCGCGGTGACCGTTGACGAACAGGCGATAGCGACTGTCGGCGGAGACGTGCACAAAGAGATTTGGTAGGTCATCTGAGTGGTGCCATTGAAAGGCTTTTCTGAAGAGGAAGTATCGGCCAGGGCGATTATCTTCCTCGAGATATTTAGGCAGCCAGATCCAGGGGGCTGCGCGAGTCCAGTCGGTCGAAGCCATGTTGACGATTAAGGACGAGATGATTGTCCTACATTCAAACTGACCACTGGCCTTTCATTATCAGATGGTAGAAGAGCACTGACATGTTGGATTATGCTCATTCTGCATCTTTGTTAGTGGGGAAGCAAAGAGAAGCTGCAAGTCGGATATCCCGCTCGGTGGGGATTGCCCCGAATCCGATACCGGGTCAAGGCTTAGCCTAAGCGTAATCTTGGTATGTACGGTGTAATGCGGGGAGAGCCATTCCGTGACGTCACATGACGCGTCGCGGCCTCGGAAGATCCGGGGTTTCATGCAGAGAAGATAAATGAAGTTGAAGCTCAATTGCTGCTAGAGATAGAGAGATTAAGGTAAGAGGCAATCCGTGTGATGCGCGATTGAAGTCTGACAGTAGTGTAATCTTTGTTGTTATCCCTTCGCGGACCGTGGTCAAAATACTACGAATAGTATATATCTTGGATGGGTAGGGTATACTACCAGTGCTAGTACTCTTGATGTTTGTGGGACAAGATAAGAATAACTTAATACCACATGCAGTGGCGGGAGTAGTAACAATAGAAGAAAGGAATCATGAAAGAGCAATCACAGCTTACTAGGTATACAACTGCGAGATAGTAGCTAATTAAGGTGCTGCCACAATATGGAGAAACAGCATGGCTGCCATGTCGCGTGGTAGCTATAATGGCTTCACAGTGAACCGTCCAAGCATGAATTGCACATGCCAGCTGCAGCCTATTGCCATGAAGCACTACAGCTGTCTCGAACCCAATTGATCCATGACGAGGAAATGCTATCATGAACTGAGTCTCAGCTCTCGCCACCCCCGCGGTCGCCTGACAACCCTGGTTCCGGCAACCCATTCGCCCCTGCACCCTCTGCTTATAATAACCATGGGGGCCCTGTGCACACTACCATTACACTATCTCTGCAAGTACAGAAAGGCAAACCTACCCACAATTATATTAAACTATTCAACATGCATCAAATGCTCATCGGTCGCTCCCGACCAGTCATCGGCAATCTCGGCCAAAGACTGCAGTCGGCGGGTACGCTGCTCCCTGTGCCATGAAGTTTTCAAATTCAAGATCAGCAGCTGAAAACGTCAGACCCTTCCCAGCGACGAAGACATATCGTGCGGTCGGATACCTATCGCAAGGATAGTTCAGAACCCGGCCACATCCCCGTCAGCTCCTTACGCGTGCATGGCGCCGCCTGGGCCGTGGCTGGCGCCAGCATGTACGCTACCCTGCATGGGGTCTACATGATGCTGAAGTCCTTCCGACAGATTCGCTACATCTAATCCCTTCGATGTTGATTTCCAGAATGGCTTTGTACCTGTACATGTGTCAAGTTTAGCGATATGGAATAACAATACGCTTTGTATAATCACCCAGATCTTATATAATTCCAACGATGATGGAGAGTGGGGATCTATAGCAGTCTTGAAATATGCTAGAACTGATAGAGGTCTAGTTGGACTTGCAAGCCTGGATATAGGCAAGGGAATCAGTCTAGAGCTGCTTGTCTACGCTTAGGAGAGACTCATGCCGCACCTGGGCGGCAACTGAGCCTCTGGCTCCACCATTACAGTCGTTCATCGAACTAGCTGTAGTCGACCGATAACTACACAAGTGACCTGTTCGTAGTAGCTGCCAGAGGACATAAATATGAAGGGGTCGAATTCAAGGTCAGTGGCTGACACTGCCATCTCGTTCTGTATAGCTTCCCTGTCGAAAGGCGATATGTTGAGCCGACTAGCAATCACGTCCATGGTAGCTGATGTTGTTGACCAACTGGTAGGCCTATGGCGTCGCCAAGTTCGACGTTCAAGTACAATCACTTGTGTTGTCGAACGTGACATCTCGGATCGAAGGGGGAGGAAAGGAACCTCGATGCACTCGACCAAGTTCCCCTTGCAGAGCCCGCCAAGGTCGACCGGCTCACGACTGAATGCAAAGGGAAGTCGTACTAGCCCCGGGGCGGAGATTACTGAATGTTTTCGTTGAACAGACGTGTCGCACATGCATTAAAGCGCAGTATCATAAACGCCCTTACATTATGCATAGGTAGCGATACGTCGCGATGTGTACGAGAAACACCAATTCGAGCTATTAGATCCGTGTCAGGGAGTAAAGTATATCCGACAACTAGCCTGCAAACGTATGGTAGGACCATTGTAGTGCATGCTTCCTGGCTGCCCCAGAGGATGGGCGAAATAAGTGTGCGATTTGGGGGGCCAATTGACGGTATCCGTGGGAAACCAAGAACAACCGGACGGCGAGGGAGGCGGAAGTTGTGTATTTGGTGGGACAGGGACTGCTTTGCCGAAAATATAGCCTGAAGGGTTATTTGCTTAGATTCGATGGGCCACTTTGTCCTGCTCTGTCTGTCAACGAATGTGCCGATGAAGTGTTCGGGGTATGTAGCTGACAGCTATAATGGAGAATGAGAATACGAGAATGGGTCTGCAATAATAATGACAGATAGACAGGCACACAAGTTTCGAGTGGGATCAGGAGAATGAAAGTTTGTTGATCGGGGCTACTTTTATGTCGTGACGTCATGGACCAGCCTGCGATGGTAAAATCGCCTGGATTGAACCACAAAAGGCACTCAGCAACGCAACAGAACTGCCTATGAACCTTTTCGGCCTCCCGATCAACAGTGGAAAGGTCTTGACCATTAGCCACTGCAACCTTGATCGGCACCGGTAGACTCACGGCGCCGCAACCTAACTCTGACTTGGAGCCATTCCTCAAACCTTCCTTTCCCCTTCTCTCCCCCTCCAGACACCTAGCCTATGCAGAAATTAACCAGCAATAACTCCATGGGTGGCCATCCAGACGTGTCGGCCCAGCAGCTGGCCGACATGATGCCCATCGGGCTGGCTGTCCTCGACCACCAGGACGGGTCCGTCTTCGTGAACAAGCGCTTCTTGGAATTAACCACCTGCACCTCAGAGCGTGCCTTCGAATGTTGGTGTCAGTCCATCCATCCCGAGGACTTTGATCGCGTGGCAGCAGCATATCGAGAAGCCTCTCAGTCCTATCATGCCCTACGTATCGAATACCGCACCCGGCTGCAGCCGTGCCTGTGGCGCGTGTGCTTGTTGACGCCGCTGGAGGACGAGGAGGAGCGACAACGATGGAACCTAGGACCGGAAGGGGGCTTCGTTTGCACCATCACCGACATCACACAAGAGAAGACGGCGGAATTGACGCAGCGTCGCATTGCCCACGAGGCCGAGGACCGCAAGCAACAGCAGGAGCGGTTTATCGATATGATTAGCCACGAGGTGCGCAACCCGTTATCGGCCATCCTCCACTGCACCGAGGATATCCTCGAGGCTGTTCATTCGCCAGATACAGGGGAGGAAATGCGCACGCAGATCGCCGAGGCAGCTGACACCATCAGTCTCTGCGTGGCGCATCAGAAGAAGATCATTGACGACGTGCTAACCTACTCCAAACTGGATGCCGCCATGCTGACGCTCTCTCCTCGACGCGTGCAACCGCGCCGGAATGTAGCCACCGCGTTAGCCATGTTTCGTCCCGAACTGCGCAAGCATGATATTCAATTCTCCTATGAGCTTGACCATTCGTACGCCAACCTGGATATTGATTGGGTCATGGCGGATATGGACCGCATGAGCCAGGTCCTCATCAATTTGCTCTCCAATGCCATCAAATTCACCGCCAGTTCTGGCGACGACAAGCGCATCCGCGTCTCCATCGGAGCGTCAACCCAACGGCCATCCTCCTATCCTCCGAACGTGGTTTTTTTCGACTCTGGCGAGGAAGCACTGAAACTCGACGCGACGTCACAACCCGAATGGGGGGCGGGGGAGTACGCATTCCTGATGGTGGCCGTTAAAGACACAGGGATTGGCATCAGCGACGAGGCGCAGAAGCGGTTGTTTGAGCGATTCAACCAGGCGACCCCGCGTACGCAGACAATATACGGTGGGTCGGGTTTAGGTCTGAATGTCAGTCGGAAGCTGTGTCACTTGCACGGGGGAGAGATTGGCGTGAGTTCCAAGGAGGGCGAGGGAAGTACGTTTGGGTTCTTTTTCACGGTTCGACGGACCGCGGCAGGGCCTGGGGAGGAGCCTAGCAAGAGCAACGGAACCACGGAGATTGACCGGATGTGCAGCCAGATCCAGGCGATGGGCAACGATATGAGTGGAGTGACCGAGCGGCACGCCCGGCCACGCATCCCCGAGAACCCTTCTGTCACTCACGTTCCGGAGATCTCACGACACGCTAGTCGAGACAGTCGGCGGCTGCATACAGTGAAAATTGCTAGCGGAGTTTCCTCCCCGGCATCGAGGGCTTCTCCTGTGTCAGAGGACGAGGGTCATGAGGCCCCTGAAGAGCCGCGAACTGAACCGCGGTCACACCCGCGCGAACGGCGGATTCTGCTTGTAGAAGACAACGTCATTAACAAGCGCATCCTCTCACGAAAGCTCCAGACCTCCGGCTTTCAGGTCAGCGAAGCGAGTAATGGCCAGGAGGCGGTAGATGCGATCCAACAGCAGGGGAGGTTCGATTGTGTACTGATGGACCAGGTCATGCCCATCATGGACGGTACGACGGCCTCCCGGGCCATCCGCCAGTTGGACGGTCCCATGGCGCAGGTCCCCATTCTTGGAGTTACAGCCAATGTACGGACGGCCCAGAAGGATGAAATGCTGGCGGCGGGGATGAACGACATTATCTACAAGCCATATAAGATGCCGGATTTGATCGAGCGGATCAAACAGCTGCAGCAGACGGGTCAGGAATGACCCGACGGGATATGTGTGGAACCACGCCGTCCGACCTTGGCGCGTGGGATGGGATCATATGTCCTTGAAATGAAGTGTTGTATGAATTCTTTGCGAGAGATTCGGAGAACCAGCTAATCAATGACGATGAAGATGGTCAGCTCATAATGCAGGGTTCCTCTGAGCTGTGCATTGCGTCGGGAGGGTGGGCCTTCGGAAGATCATCCATTTTCTGGGATCGCATCCAAAGATCACCGCATTTTGCGTCTCTTTTTACACGTGATGCCCATAGCCTCGATTGTGACACAAGCTATGAGTATGCGGGGCATCCAGATGGGATAGGCAGTTGACAGGGTGACAATTCGTTCCCCAGCACCCTGTGTGGAGGAAGGGAGAAAGCCAGCGCCGTCACAGAGACATTGGCAGCCGGTGCCACGATCGAATCTGTCTGACGCTGAATTTGGATGCAGATTTTGCAGATCGACAAGGAGCGAGATGCATCTGCTTCGTTATCGTTTCCCGGCGAATCATCACTAAAAGGTGGGAGAATGAGCTGCCACGCTGGCCTTCTGAATGTCAGGTTAGTGCTTTCTGTTGGGGCTTCGAGTCCTGAAGGACATCCATCGACAACGAATTGGCGTGCTGTCAATTGAACCTTTCAAAGCTGCAATTGTAGCATCATCAGTGCAAGTGTGGGTACACGACGAGCATAACCGCCGACAGTTTTATTCCGGACTCCGCGTAGACCGATGCCTTCCAGCTCAAAATTTAGTCGAAGGTTGAACATGAATATCGAAAGCGAGTCGATAGCTCATCATTTGTCGACCTTGTTGTCAGCCATTCGGTCGGCCCTGGGACCAGAATGAGTTAGGAATTGGCTTGCCAGGATCCAGTGGAACTCACAAAACATCAACCTAAGTACCCACCCTGGACGAGCGAACCTTGTTCGAGCGTAGGGTAATTTGGCTGGACATAACCCGAGGCCAATGCAGACCTTCCTGGGAGGCTTCACATTCCATGCATGTCGGGCGGAAGAAGGAACAACGTTCGCGCCATGGAGGAAATCAAATATCGTTGTCGAACTGTCCACCCTCTTACTTGCAATGCCATGGTATTCACAGGACTTATCGTGGACGCGCAGCTCGATGAAGTTGTGTTAAGGCAGACGGCGGCTCAGCTGGTGAAGGCGTGGCCTGCTCTGGGTGGACAGCTTTACCGGTCGGTCAGTGAATAGCACCATATTGAAATCCGGGCGCAATGATGATTTCTGTAAACTGAGACAGAGCCGCCCGTATGCACTCTCATGGGGCTCGACTGTCGACTTTGAAAGTCGGACACTCCCCAAAAGTGCAACATCCTGGAAACGAGGCATACTTCATTCCAGAGAATGCAATCAGCCGACCATTAGTGGCTCCCTCGACCCAGAAGAATTGGATGATGCTTTCATCTTTGACGTACCTGGCGCGCCTGCGAATGTCTTCCTCATTCGCGCCACTCTTTTCCGCGACGCCACTCTACTCTGCTTCGGCATCAGTCACCATTTGGCTGACGGCACTGCCGCCTACGACGTGATTCGGGCCTATTGTGACCTGCTTGCTGGGCGCCCCATCCCATCGTTGCTGCTCCCACCCGATGCGTGTGGCCAGCGAATGTCGGACCAAGTGCTTCTCAACGACAAGCACGGAAGCTCACTTCGGTCTATAACCTACGCAGAGCATCTGGCCAACTTCACCGCTGGGTTCTGGCCGATCTTACTGCTCATGATCAGAGTAATTTTGTGTCTGCTGCTGCGCAAGCTATGTCTGCAGGAAACCCTGGAGGAACGGTACATTTACCTCCCGGACGACTGGGTTGGCGCCGTGCACAAAGGGGCACTCGGTACCCTCGCTGCCATGCCTCTGGGTGCCCAGCCCTTGTGGGATAACCAGCCGACCAGGAACAACATCATCAATGCCTGGTTTCTCGAATTGGTCTACAGTGCTATCCCGAGCAGTCGAGCTGACATTTATTTCTATGGTCCGCTCAGCTATCGGTGTGTGGTTGAGCCTCCCCAACCAGGGACCTACTGGATTCATAACAGTATCGGGCTCGTGCGGCACAAGCTGTCAGTGGCTCAGATCCAGAACGAGCCAGTGGCTATGCTGGCGGGCCGACTACGCTTGGCCAGCTTGCGGTTCACCTGCCCGGCCTCCATCAAGGCGTTTCTGCAGATGTGCGAGGATCATGCGTCACAGCAGATGCTGCCGAGAATCCCCGCGAAGGGACGAATACCGATGGTGATGGTCACCACTTGGACAGGGTTCGATTTCGCATGCTTGGACTTTTCGAGCGCCGCGTGCGACCGGAGCAAACCAGCCAAAGTCCTCTTCGTCCACCCCCTGGTTCGGAGCCTGCGACAGGGAGTGTGGCCCTCTGCATATACGCTGAAGAGTGCGCAGGGTGGTGGGTACTGGCTGCGAGCCTGGAATACTTTATCGGGATGGAAGAAGTTCAGTCAAATGGTGGATGTCGACACTCTATGATGCTTCATCCTGATGAAATCTATGTCAGGTAGACAAGTATCACCACTAGCAATTTATAGTCTAGTCCAGTATACCCCCTCTAGAAATCAGAAATGATGTCCTTTCGTGGAACTAGTTGAACCTCACAGTCGTCTCAGTAGGACGTACATCATCCTCCGACACATCGCTGAAAACCCTCCACTGGACAGTTTCACAGAGGGGATCAAGGTTGTCAATACTTTGGACGGTCTTTCGCGTCCCGGTGCGATGATAATGACTAGTACACCACTTCTGACATGATAGTATTTCTGGTCAAATATTCCCCACTGAAAGTAGGTACTATTGAAGTCTACTCGTAGTTTTGACTTCCGATAACAGTTTCTTTTCCATGCCCCTGTAATTCAACAACAAGAACAACAGAATATGATTCGATCTGCCCACAGAGCCTGCCATTCCTTTGCCAATGGTGAGTTTTGAGGGCCGGTCGCGGAACTGAGCATGAGTACCCAAGTGGCCGCTGACCGAGGGAATATCCGACCGGACAACAAGTCATGGGTACGCATCAGAGTGCCAACAGATCGATGCCTGCTTCGAACTATGTCACTTGCTCCCAGTCGGGTTGTTTTCTCCGCACGAGGGTCAGCCAACCCCAATCGGGCAATGATTCTCGCTGCATCGAGTGAAAAGACATTCCGTGGCGGACTTCAATATTCCAGAGAATATTCTACGGGAAAGACATAGCATGTAGCCGACAGATATGATTCATTCAATTATACATATGCTAGATAAATGAAAAAAGAAGTACTTTCCTCTACTAAAACTGCGACAAAACATGACACCGACAGAATCTCTACAGCGAGGAACCCGCCGGTGGCCGCTTGCTGGGAAACCCGCCATTGGGGTGAATGATGACCTTGGTATAGCCCTCCACCCGCTTGTCGAACTTTTCATATGCCGTTTCGGCCTCATCAATGCCAATCTCATGAGACACGACGAAGCTGGGTCGTGCCTTTCCGGCAATGATCAGGTCTCGCAGCTGCCGATTGTAGGCCTTGACGTTACACTGGCCTGTGCCAAGGGAGAGTCCCTACTCACAATGTCAGCACCAATGCCTCTTATGCCAGAGAAACAGGCTTCTACGATACCTTCTCAAAGAGCTTTCCAAAGCTGAGGCTAATCATTCCTTTCGCGGCCGACGCATCGCCCGCACCGGGGTCACTGGCTGGATGTCAGCCAACATACTCCGTCGGAGTCCTATGTCAGGGTGACAAACCTAGGGACGTAGAGTCCGGGGATACCCAGTCCACCACACGCACGAGTCACACGAATCATGTTCTCTAGCACAATATTCGGTTGTTCGGTCGAGTTATCTTTGCCGACCGCCTGGTATCCGACAGCATCCACGGACCGATCCACCATGTCCCCGTTCAGTGCGATGATCTGATCGACGGCATCGCCCGCCGTGAAATCAATGGGGGTGGCACCGATCCGTTCCGCAGCCCTCAATCGTTCGGGGACCCGATCTACCACGTACACGCGAGAGGCGCCGCGCAGCTGGGCAGAATAGGCTGCCATGAGACCAACGGGGCCGGCCCCGAAGACTGCTACGCTGTCACCTGGCTGAAAGCCTGATATCTCAATGCCGTGCCACCCTACTCGTATTAGCGGATGTGGTGTTGGGTAGTAGCCAACTGCGTTCGTGGAGGGAATATACCTGTGGGGAAAATATCTGGTATGCCTCTTAGTAAACCAATCACCCAAGAGTGAGAGCATGGGATGCCTACCTGCCAGCAGAATAAAGTCCGCTTCGTGCTCGGTTCCCGGTGGAAGCTTTAGAGCATTGAAATCGGCATAGGGGACGCGCAGGTACTGTGCTTGACCTGAAGGTGCCACTTGGTCAGCATGAAGCTATCCAACAATTTGGGGGGTCACACAAACCTCCGCGGTAGGGCCCCATAGCCACGTATCCTGTGGGAATCAATGTCAACGAGAAGACACGGACCGCTATCATTTTCCGAGGAGACGAACCGTATGCGCCGCCAGCAAAGCCGGGGTTTACGCCCGTGCAAAATGCAGTCTTTCCTTCCTCACAATTCCGGCAACGACCGTCCGCAACGTTGAACGGCATGACCACGCGGTCGCCTTTCTTCAGCAGGGTGACTCCCTCCCCGAGTTCTTCCACCAGACCGAGGTTCTCGTGTCCTTATTTATTTCACTCATGTCAATGCCAGCAGATATTCAAATCTAGAGTTGGACTTACCAAAGGTGATACCGGGCTCCGCCGCTGTTCTCCCTTCATACATGCTGGGAACGTGTGAGCAACATTGCTGGATGAACTCTCTTCTACCCTACCCCCAATTTCACTCACTGCAGATCCGAACCACAGATGGCTGCCTATCATGGTTGTCAGTCAATCCTACAGAAATTCATTCAGGTTTCGCAACATACACTGGTAACCTTGACGATAATGTCATCAGGGTGCTCCAGCTTGGGCCGCTCCACCTCCTGCACCTGGACCGTGAATGGTCCCACGTAGTTCAATGCTTTCATAGATTGGGATGCCATTTTTGCTCAGACCGATGGAATAAATCTGACAAAACAATTGGAATTGCAGTAATGTCGGTTGGATGCCGCGCATGTTATGTACTTATTGGGGTATATCAATCGAGAAGTGGGGTGAGGGGAAAGACGTGAGGAGTGGGGGAAGAAGGTGGGGGAGGGGCGAGAGGTAAAGACCGACGGGCCGCATCTTGACCTGGCGATGCCGAAGGAACGCGGAACAGAATTCCCATGCCGAACATTCAACCAGATTCAGAGAAGTGATGCTGGGACGCTATGATGCCACTGCCATCCTTTTCTGGAAGACCGTGGAGGACTGGCCGTAGAGGGAGAAGTCCTCCGCGGGCACATCCTCAACGCTAGCCTATAGGGGACTAGTTGCTCGGCCGTCAACTGGGGAAGGTGGAGCGGCCATGGCGGGTTAAATTCCCCGATCGGTGATTTCCCTGCTGGGAAAGTATCAAGGGAATCCAGAATCACTTCTAAAGGGCAGATCACGATGGCGACATCTGCGGAGTGCTTCAGAGCATGATCTTCAATGATGGAACTAACCGCGATGGACCGATCCCTTCGTCATCCATATGCACCCGATTTATAGCCCCGCTGGCTCCTCACAGCTCGTCGGACAAGCTCGTAGCAAGCAAGCAGTTGTTCCCCGCGTGCCCGTCAGGAGACTAGCCAAAATCCTATACAACTTGCGCCTTCGCATCTCACAGTCATGGTTGTTATCTCACGTTTTAGATCCCTCTGGGGTATTGAGCCCGGTCAGGCCCAGTCGGAATGGAGAAAGAAGTTCGTTGAGCTCAAGGCTCACGGCTACGGTAAGCTGGGGCACGCACTGGAATACCTCTAAATATCAAACTAACAACATGTTCTGGCAGCTGGGATTGAGATTGATTTTGCCGGGATGACTCCAGAGCAATTGCAACTTCTCCGCAAGAACTGCGACGAGGTGGGTTTGGAGATCAGTGTTCTGTCAGCATCCCCGCTTGCAGCCTCCCGTGGGCAACGCATATTGAGCTGATGATGTGTTCGCAGCCTCTTCTCCTCCTGGCCGAAATATGATGGTCCCCGCCCTCGTGGCTTGATCCCAGATGCCCATCTCGAGTTCTACCGGGGTCAACTTCGCCTAGCGACCATCTTGAAGCCAGTCGTCATCAATGCCCAATCCGGAGCGTATGGTCCCTTGCACTCCGAGTATAATACTGTTGAAATATTGATTCGCTATCTCCATAGGGACTACTGGAGCTTTGATGAGTCTGTCTTCTTCTACAAAAACGCTTTAGAGATAGAAAAAGAAGAGGGCTTCGAGGGCATAGTCTGCCACGAAACACATCGCAACAGATCGCTCTTCAACCCTTATTCGACCGACTACATCGTGCAGAGAGTTCCACAGTATGTAAACCTTGGTTTCACTCTACCACGGTTGGGTACTGATTGTGCAGATTACGTATCACTGCCGACATCTCACATTGGGTGGTTGTCTGTGAAAGGCTCCTAGATCAAGGCGAGGAAGACCGTGAGATCCTCGACCGCGTAATCCCACACGTAAGCCCCCGCCCTCATTGTTACATGCGCATCGCTTAACATATCTCAGGTTCGCCATATCCATGCACGTATGGGAACAACACAGTCATCACAGTGCCCAGAGCCTCTAAACCCAGCATTTTCTGCTGAGCGGGAATTCTTCGAGACTCTATGGCTTCGGATCGTCAAGTTAAGACAACAGACAGAACCTAACTGCCGAATCACTTGGGTCCCAGAGTACGGGTAAGTAACCACTCTTCTGAGGTTGTTGGACACTCTAACAATGTACACAGTCCATTCCCATATCATCCAATTGGCACTGCTCAAACCCACGGGCAGCTTGCGGACAGTGAGGGGAAACGACTGGAAACTCTCTTTGAGTCGGCAATTGGACGGTCTTAGTATCTGATAATTATCTAGTCAGGGGCTTAAATACTCAGGGAAATAGACAGAAGCCTAAAACTATGTCTATGTTGCAACACCTCTGCGGTCGACCTGATAGTTATAATTTTAATGCTGCTTCAGAATGTATAGAGCTATGCTAGCAAATCCATTATCCTGCGTTAGCATCGCTGCTGCGTGCATTTGTTGGAGGCTTATCACTGAGACTGTGGTCACCCATTTGGTGCTCTTGGCACTTCTTGCACCCATCTGTTAGATTCGTTATGAAGCCTGGTGCAACAATTTTATTTCGAAAATGACAAATACCCGCGGCAGATTTATGTGTAACAGAACCAATTGATATCCTAGAAATGCAAACTTCATCCTGTAAACAAGGAGTCTCCCTCGTTGAAGACGGCTTTCGTGTTGGTATCAAAAATCATACGCCGGGCCGACCCTCGCACTGCGGAGTTGCCCGACGGACCGACCATGGAAAGGAATGCACGCCGACGCGTGACTCCATAAGCTAACAGCATGTGCTAGGGTTCAATATGCATCATGAGTTATGTCGATTGCAATCAGTTACTCTTACTCGAAACCCCCGACCGCTTGTCATATAACATACAACATGGGCTTTCTTGAATGTAGGATCAGTTTCGAAGGCACTTCCCGAAAATAGTGTTGGATGAAGGGAAAAGAAAAAGAAGAGCAGAAAACAATGAGCAACCAGGTAGAGTTGTTGCGCAGGATCACTTAATTCACTCATAATATCATGGAGTCATCTTATCTTCGGGCTATCAGAACCCTCCAAATTTTCCGGCTATTTAGCCGAGCCGCCTAACCTAATTTTTCCAGAAATAGAGCATTCAATATCTAAAAATCTTGGCTTCGGATCTAGGATTTGGAAAAGTTTGTCATTCAACTAACATACCTCCCCCGAATTGCATTAGTGTACCTTTCAATTCTGCAACCCTCAGATCCCTCATAATACAACGGCATCGAACCTCACTTCTTCCACATGTTTACGTAAAAGAATCTAGCCAGTGGAGTCATCGCAGATATCGTTTTTTTTTTCGAGGATAGAGGGATGGGGAATACGAGGAGGCTTGCTTGGCGAATGGTCGGAGATAGGGACAGTCAAAGGAGCAGACTTCCTGATTAGGAATATGGATCTGATAAGATCTCGCTGAGTGGTGACAGAGACATCAGCCCTGTCTTGGCACTTAGTACCACGAGGTAGGATCTTGTAAGGATAGAGCTGACCTTCTGCATTCCACCGCAACTATAAAGTCATGATGCGCCTTTGCATTCTGGCATAACGACACACGACTGGCTGACATTTCAACGAGCCGCAATACCCCCTAACCCTGACTCTTAGCCAACATGCAGTTCAAGGTTGATCACATCTCTTCCCTTGCACTCTTAAGACCCATTCTGACCATACTAGATCCTTGCCCTTTCGACTCTTGTGGCCACTGCAGCTGCCACCTTGGACATCGCCTTCAGCGGCTACTACTATGCCGACTGCGTCTCCCCCAGCATTGAAGCTGCCAACGTGATCTCTGGTGCCTGTGGACCAAACAACGGCCTCCCTCTCAAGTCTTTCTCGGCGCGCATCTACTCCGGCTCCTGTGATGCTGGCACATCGCCCGTTTTGAAGCTTTACACCGCCACGGGCTGTACTGAAGAGTCACTGTACGGCGAATACAACGTTACCAGCGATACCCAGTGCTTCGCGGTGGATGGAACATTCTTGAGTAATGAGGTTGTTTGCGAGTAGTGGGATTAGAGTGAGCGTGCTCTCCAGTTGTATTTACTTTCTCACTTTAAGTACATAATCGCCAGTCCTATACGGCCCCTGCCGAGATGGGAATATTTGTCAAGTCAATTCCAGCTGTGAGCGATGATGTGGTAGCCTATGTAGTATGAATATGGAGTTAGATCATCGAGTCGAGTAGGAGACCCGCGGGCCATAACTATACGAAGAGGTGCGACCATTTCACCCAATGGAAAATATAGGAGCGGCTTTTACATGAAGGTAGTATGGGGTGATTTATTAAAAGGCAGACATGAAGGCATACACTTGTGGTTCACGCGAAATCAACGGGATCGGGTGAGCAATATATGGCAGCGAGTTCATGAATATCATCCATGGAGTTCAGCAGGCGGCTTGAGCAGGAGAGGTGATAGCATTGAATCATTGAGCGTAAATAGCATAGTGAACATGTTTGAGGTTTATGAATTATTGGTATATAATATCGAGTTAGTTAATATTAGGTTTCATGCTGCCTTTAGAGTGTTAAAGCAAGCAAAATATTAGATCAGTAGCTTTAATATTGATATAAGTAATATATATGTGCAGCATATGACGTAATCACTGGGGCAATGGCGCATCTGGGAGCGCGTCAGACTGAAGATCTGGAGGTGGCCGGTTCAAGCCCGGCTTGCCCCATTCTTTTTTGATTGTCATTTTTTTTTTCCACATTTAATTTCGCTCTGCTTAATATATAACTCTTGGAAATTTCTGATTGGACCTTCTTAGGACGAAAGAAACTTCTGTTTACAGCAGACTCTGCCATCAAGTAGATAGGCGTAGAAATATAGGTCGATGGGTGAAACCTTCCAATGACCCTGAGCTTCATAGTCTGAATATATATTTTTGCATAATCTAGTATTACCACTCACACCCACCTTCATGGCATCATTGTATCATCATGTCCTTTCAGCATCTTGCAGTGTATCAGCTTTCACCGTCACTTAGAAACCCAACGTGGAGGCTTGATAATTGAGACATCAACTCATGACTACTAGTAGTATTCGCTGACTCCCAGACTGAGGTCAAACCTCCCGTCTCCTTCGTCATTTATGCTCAAGAAGTGACGACCGGTGGTATGGAAGCAGAAGGATCACCCCTTGATAAAATTATTACAGAGTATGCTGTAGGTACAGACGACCCCGAAAATAGACGAGATATTGATACAGTGATAACCCGTTACAACTCTTTCGACACGAAATAGGCATCATTCTGCAACTTCTGCATCACGCCCCTTGGATCATACCTCTCAGCAACGGCGGCAATATACTTGACATTGTCTTCACCATATCCTCGCAGGACCTGCTGATTAGGGCCAGCATCATTGGCGAAAATGTAAGGAAGATGAACACTCTGAGACTGGGCGCTCGAGGTAAGGTTGGCTAGAAGAGATTCCACGGCGTTGGCTACCGTTGACTGACTAACCGTGGCGGGGAATTGGGCAAAGATCTCCCCCCCTGTCCAAGTGTTCGGTTAGTACTGCGTTCCTCAGATAGATTGGGAATTGATCGGGCACAAGGGACACATACAAACTTGAGGTGTGGCCTCCAGGCCAAACAGATTACCACCATTCTGGGTCTGGCTTTTGGTAACTAGGTTTGGGATGATGCCCTGAGGCACGTACTCGAGTATTACGCCCAAAGGCAGGAGCGATGCGGCAGTTTCAAGGTAGGCCTTGAAGCTTTCCTGGAGGAAGCTGGGGCTGGTAACCTTGAAGGCAAAAGAAATGCTATAGGTATATAATGAGCCAACCACACCGGCATTGCCAATGTCGAGGAGGACTTGATTTAGGGAGGCATTGGTAGGAGGGTAAACAGTCGAGACCGACGGGACGTGGGAGAAAGCATTAAAGGCGGATGGCGCTGACACATGGTCGAGATATCCGTAGAAGACTAGTGTGTATGCTGGATTCGTCTGAATCTCGACATTGCTGCGGATATCGGCATTTTGGAGATATGCTGCGTAGGCAGCAAGCAGTGCGGGAGTCTCGGCGAGGGTATAGTTCTTGACCTCGAACCAGACATCGATGCCGGTATTGGTGGTGAGGTCGTATTCCACCACGATGCCTGGGTTCGATTAGTCACATAAAAGAGGTCACCGAAGTGAGTATTAGGCCTACCAAAGTTGTTCAGACCTCCTTTCAGCCCCTTGTATAGATCGGCATGCTCGGTTTGGGTAGCGTTGACGATGGTCCCATTGGGGGTTACCACCTGGAATCGGGTGACCGTGTCAATGGCCAGACCATTGGTGTTATAGAAGAGACTAAGACCACCTATTGTAATTAGTATCATGTTTATTTTCCCAGGATATGATAGAGGAAGCATTGGCTTACCCCCCAGGACGAAGCCACCAACTCCCACAACAGGCTCTCGTCCCCCGAGTACGGTCAGATTGTACTGCTCCAGATATTGGTACACGGCTTCCCAGCGATTGCCCGGTCCAACAGTGAGGGTCTTCCGGTCCGCGCTGATCGAGAGTGTGTTCAACCTTCCAAGCGCAACTAGCACTCCGTTGCTACCAATCGAACTGAACCCTGGATTGGAACTGTGCCCACCCGAGCGAATGGAGAATTTGGTCTCCAGAATACTAAGGATTTGGATGACAAGCGAAACCTCCTGAGCAGATCTGGGCGTCACAATGCAGGACGCGTTCAGGCGGCTGTTCCCTGACCAGGTCTCATCAATTAGAGCCTCATAGTAGGGTGAGCTGGCGGTAAAGGTCTCATTCTTTGGAAATGTACGACTCAGCAGATTGCAGGTGTACCCCACATTCCCGACGAGCACATTGCCGGCTGGGAGAGAAAGGCCCAGCGAGGAGAGAGAACCGGCAGCTGATGGGGTCGTGGAAGCAGCAACAGAGGAAGATAGAGAAACGTCTGCAGCGGTTCCCGATGTTGAAAAAACCGCAACGGCACCCAGAATATAGGCAAGATTGACCATCCTGACCGTCAGATTGAATACTGGCTGATAAGTTCAGTAAGTCATCCGGTTGTCGCAAGCTTGTGGTTGGGAGTCATTTGAAGCTTTAAATCGGGGCTCGGGCGAACATTTAATCAATTACCTGGATTGATCGTCTATCCAAATACGCGGCGGAGCTGAAATTACCCATTGCATCGTTCGTCGGGCATTCCATAGTCCACAAGCACATCGCTGACGATGGAGCGAGCGAGGATCAGCGAACCATTTTGGTAGGCGCACGGGTGGGACTCGTATTGGGATCCGCCTCCCCCCCCCCCCCAACCAACCCAATCGGCCGACATTCAGCTGAAGAGGACATTGTCAGATTCTCATACGCCGAAGATGACCTGATTTGGCAGCTTCTCCTTTTTGATGACGACGTATTATTTGTCAAGATGGTTGTTGTGGGGTGTTGTTCACCGCAGCAGGTAGAATGAGGCTTGCAATCAACCGCCATTCGTAGTACTGTATTCCTTCTAAGATTGAGCCATGTGATTACAATAGCTTTATTTGGGAGATGTTGCGGATCTACAGGGTTTCAGAAATTGGCTCTGCCCACCATCCTGCAGTCTCAGGCCTACCCCTGCCTGAAGTGACGGCCCTAGCTTTCCCACTGGCCGAGACCAATCAATCTTGGACCGCCTTCGCATAGAAGAAGCTGAATAGATCCAATCAATTAGAAGGAAATATGTGCGTGTTCAACCAGGAACTGCAACCGATCAGTCAGATTCGATGCATGCTAGTGATAACCTGTGTTTTAGCATATACATAACCCTATGCACATTCAGAAGGAGTAGTATTTATTCTCTTCCTTCGATAGTATCAAGGGATAATAAAGGTCAATGTACTCCGTATTCTCTTCTACTCCGACTTTTCGCCTTTGGCCACGGTTGCCTGCCCCTTTTGCACCTGAAACTTCTCTCGTGCTCGCTGCTGTGCTCCCCGATCGGCATATCGACGCTGGAACCAACTTTGTTCCATTTTATCACAGGCCGCGTCCCAATTGGTCGTCCATTCAGGGTAAAAGGGGGCATAGCCCAGTAGTCCACCAATCCATCGGCCGATCACGATGCCCAGGATTAGGCCAACCCAGGCGCGAAAGGGAACCCACCACGGCGGGGACAGATATGTACCTCCGGCATCGAACATCTACCGGATCGTCAATGAGCCGGCCTGCCGATTGCATTGCAGGGAAAGCCCCGAAGGAAGCTTAGCTACCAAGTTTTACTCACCGCTAGCACTTGAATCAAGTCGATCTTCTCCCCCCGCTGGAAGATGTCCTCTTGATACCCATACCAATTTTCGAAGAATTCTTGATCCATGGCCGTGGCCCCCTCTTCCTCATCGGTAGCACTGACGAGGAACTCCACTTCATTCATCTCCGTGCCAGGGGTACCATAAATGACATGATGGGTATATGGGGGTACTGCCATCTCCCCATCGTCGACGGTGCGGTGCACGGGAACGCCATTAATGTCAATGGTGAGGTTACCTCGAAGGACACGGAAGAATTCCCACTGCGAGGGATGGAAGTGGGTTGGGGGCTTCTTCCCGGTCGCAACGAGCTTGGCGTAGATGCCACGACTGGGCCGCATGATGCCATGGAAGAGGAATTGACGATCTGCCGGGCGAGGCATCGTGGCGACGGAGATGGCTCCATCGAACTTGGTCAGCGGGTCTTCGCCCGCAGTGAAGGTCCGGGGCTTGCAGGGGGCCATGGCAGGTAGTCGCAACGTATACTACTATACGACTAGTAGGTACTAAATCCTGAGTACTGTGCCACAGCACCTAGTAGTTCAAGTAGACTATCCGTAGGGGTAGGAGGAGGAAGAGCAGGGGGATGAGGGAATAACGAACCTCAGGGGCAAACCCCGGAGAGCAAGAGAAAAGAAAGAAGACAAGAATGGAATTGGAATTGGAATCATCAACGCCATAAATGCAGACACTACATAGTTTCTATATTGCCTACATTTGGACACTTAATAGTGTGCTCTACATGTTGAGGATGGATCGGAGTGAAGAGTCATCTGTCAGACTGCGAGGTGACGAAGCAAATGGGTCCCGATAGCATTCCTTTTGTCTCTTTCCGGCCGAGTTGGGCCGAGCTCGAACTCTAAAGCGAACTGACAAACTCGATCGTCGGACGAGATCGAGATACCCCTGTCACTTTCCTCTTTGGGACAGTCGTCGGCCGAATGCTGAGTCATGCCTGATGACTCAGCTGTTATTTGTCAGCCCTGCAGCGCCAAGCCAAACAAACAAGGGAGAGCGTGACATGTAATTAGTGATTCTGCCAGCGGTATTAACACCTCCAGGCCGAGCTGGGTCGCTTTTTCGGGGACAGCTGGCTGTGATATTTCCCTTCTGTCCTCATCTCTCTTCTCGGTAACTCATGCTTTGATAATTCTCACCACGTTTCGCTCTCGGTTGTTCGATATACTCTTTGCCCGTCGAATCCAACTACCATCTCGTATCCGTCCTAGGGCTACTACGGCCGTCACCACCACCACCGCCGCCATGGTCAAGTTTTTTCAGCCCAAGGTTGATCCCTTGCCTACGGGCATTGACTTGACGGGCAAGACCGCGGTCATCACCGGTGCCAGTGCAGGCATGGGTCTGGAAGTCACCAAGCAGCTTTTGCGCTTGCGCCTCTCCACCGCCATCCTCGCCGTGCGCAATGTCACCAAAGGGGAGGCCTGCATCAAATCGCTGCTGCAGGACCGCGGCATTCAAACCCACAACCCCAAACCCACCATAAAGGTCATGGAGCTTGACATGGACCGATACGATAGCGTGCAGCAATTCGCGAAAACTCTCCGCGAAGAGGTTCCGGTCGTTGATCTCCTCATCCTCAATGCGGGGGTTGCTTCTTTGAACTTCGAACGTAGCCCAAGTGGCCACGAGAGGGTGACCCAGGTCAACTACTGCTCCAACGTCCTGCTCGTGGCCGAGCTTCTCCCTCACCTGGAAGCCGGTGCGGAGCAGACCGGTTCCCCTGCCCGGATCAGTTGGGTAGGCAGTCGTTCGCACGAGACACCCAGTTTCGAGAAGAAGTCCCCCATTGGAGCCGACGAGGGGGTCTTGGAGCATATGGACAAAGAGGGAGCTTTTGTCCCTTTCCAACGGTATAATGATACCAAGTTACTCTGTGTGCTGTTCTTGTACAGCCTGGCGCCGCGCCTGGATCCTAAAAAGGTCGTCATCAATACAATGTGTCCGGGTATGGTGAACACAGGGATGAGCGACATGCTCCCACTACATCTGCGCTTGATTTTCAACGTCATCAAAGCCATTCGCGCCCGTCCAGTCGAGGTTGGAGGCTGGATTATCCTGAACGCTGCAATCGTTGCAGGCCCAGAGTCCCATGGGAAGTTCCTGGCGGATAAGACCATCACCGAGTAAGTCCCTCTTGAGCTTCGTCCCCGTAAACCCCACCTCTAACATGAATTATCTTTTAGTAAATCTGCAATTGTTACCTCCCCGATGGGCCAGGATATTCAAAAGAAACTTTGGGAAGAGACAATCACCGAGCTGAGCAAGTTGACCACCCTTCCTCCCCAGTTCCGTTAAATTGAACTGGTTAGCAAGCCATGACGACGGATTACGTGTTTCCTGCCGTTCTCAACATTTTTAATACTCCCTTGGCTTTTTCGAGTGTTCTCATGTTTTTCTTTCTTCTTATTTCCCTCGACTGCTGTGGTCATTCCCTTCCGCTATATCTCTTTCTTTCGTCGACCAGTGCAAGTGGTACGATTACGACATCTCATATACTAGAAGAACTATTCTGAACGCATATAACTAGCTCAATCCTGCCCAATAAGTATTAATAAAAACCTTAGCCACGTTGAATCTTTGATACTAGCCTCTTTGCGTAATCTTCGATCCACTCTGCTCCCACTGTGTCCGGCAACATGGCTCACGGCGATATTTTCCACGCTTTTGCCACGAAGTTTCCCGGAACCGCCGCTGCGGACCGTCGCGTATGCTCCAACGCGATGAACAACGGCCCTCTTTCATCTTGGATCCCACTGGCCAGGGCCACCGGCATCACACTCCAATGCACGCGGCTCCAGAAGTACCAGCCTGCCGTCACAGTGTATCCCACCCACCGTCGGACCGTGGAAGCCTCCCCCGCCGACCGGTCATCGATCCCCAGCATCCAGCATACGAAGTCCTCGATCATGATGAACACTGCTTGCGAGATGAAATATTTTACCTCTCCACCATACGATGATGGCATCCCCATCCCGCGCGACACGTGGTACGATCCAAACGTATGAATCAAGCCCGATACGACGAATGTTATCAGCACGAACAAATACCGTCTGATCAGCCGAGCAGGTCGCCGTTTTGAAGTTCGCATTGCTTCAGGTAGTAAGGACAGTATATAAGCCGCAGGTGCCCCTGTATGGCGCCGTAGCTGCTGGTGCCAGGTGATGCCCCAGAAACGTCGAAGGCTGTATGACTCCCACAAACTACCGTAATCCGGAGGCCAGGCGGACATATCACGCCATGCGACGGGGCCAATCTGCAGACCAACGCAGAGAATAGATAGTGGCAAGACGAAGAGCGCGAAGTGGCTGTAAATAACCAATGCAAGGCCCAGGACTATTAGCCCGTACAGGAACAGATCACCCATGAGGATTTGAATCGGATTGCCATCGGCAATTCCTGGGCTTGGGTACGAAGCGAGAAGCTCCTGACACGTAACCTCGAGCAAGTATAGGCCGGCGTACATGGTGATTATTGTCAGGAGACGAGCTGTCACAAAGCGAGCTCGGGATTTTGGTGCCGTGAGCTCTGGAATACGGGACACGCGCCAATCCCAACCGATACCGCGGGTGACACTGAAAAGCTCCAATGCCCAGGGCAAGCGTTGGGTGAGGGGAAGCTTGGTAGCATCTTCCTCGCTCTGGTTGGTGGATGAGATGCGGTGGAACGATTCTTCAGGAACAGTAGTGTAGAGTCGGTCAAAGTAGCGAGCCAGGAGATTGGCCATTAGCACGCCCGTAGTGTAGAGAACAGCCGAGTCGGAGGTCGGTGGTGGAGGTGCCACAAAAGCCTGCAAAGCGCAGGTAATCTGAAGGAGTAGCAGGCCATAACGGAGGATAGATTTGCGCGGAGCTGAAGGGATGCACACGGCGAGGAGGAAGGCGAGAGCAGTATAGTGCGTGCTGACCAGGGAGCGAGAAAGGAGCGCTTCCCAGACCCACGAGTGGGATGGGACAGGCTCGTGAAGTTCCGCCTTCGAAACACCCATAACTAACGTAAGCGATGATTACAGCGCCACCAGGTTTTACCGTCCTCTCCGCCTGGTTATGTGTCTTCCTTATGTAAACCTTTCGGACTTCGGTGCTGTCGGTCGTCGTTGGGACTGTGGATTCGGCCGATCGGCGGTCCTGCAGTAATACTAGTTTATATGCAGTCCCAAGAGAACAACCCGGGGATGAACCCAATACAGGTCCACCAGCCATGGCGTTACAATCTTTGCTGTCCAGCTCATTGTCGCAATTGCCTGTCAGCATCTGGCTCATTGCGGGGGCCACATTTGCTGTTTATCATGCTATCCGTGCCGTGTATCTGATCTTCTTCAGCCCGCTGGCTATTTTCCCGGGGTCACCATGGGCTGCCTTGGGTGAATAGTGAGTGTCACATCCTTCCCAAGGCTCGAATATAATCGCTGACAATACCCTAATGCAGCTGGGAGGCATACTGGAACATCGGCGTACGGCCAGGCCACAAGGGCCAGACTCTATTCAAGCTCGAACAGATGCACAAGCGTCTGGGGCCTGCCCTACGCATGGGACCGAATGAGGTGCACATCTATGATCCAGCCTTCTATCATGAGTTGTACCGGCCAGGGAGCCAGTATTACAAAGACCCTTCTATGCACAAGGTGCTGGGGGCGCCGACAAGCACCCTGGCGGAGAGTGACCCCGTCCGTCACAAGCAGCGCAAAGCGCCATTGGAGCCTCTGTTCTCCAAGAAGAACATCCTCAGTCTGGAGAACATGTTGATGGAACATGTTGACCACTGCAGTCAACGGTTTGATGAGCTTTACAGCCAGGGGAAGCCTGTCTCCATGGAGTGGGCCCTGAAATCTCTTGCGATGGGTATGTACACCTTGCCTAGCTTTCCGATCGCAGTTTTCCTGTTCAAGGTCACTAACAGTGTCAACCAGATATGGTTTCCCAATTTGCCTTTGGCCAGTCTCTAAATGCTATTGCGGATCCAGAGTTCAAGTCCCTCCCCGTGCGCGTGTTCCAGCAATATCTACCGAGCCTGCACGTTATTAAGGCCTTTCCGTTTGTGCGGCTTCTCAGCTCACTGCCACTATGGATCGCGAGGCGAATTTCGCATTCTGTTGAAATGGGGCACGAGCTGGAACAGGTATGCTCTGCGCATGGAAGCACGTCCTTTCAACGACCATGATGCTTGTTCAGCTGCTCTGACTGATAGTACTTACTAATTATATGTAGTTTGCGGCCCGCCGGATAGACGAATATATCGAAGCCGCAGCACAAGGGAAAACTCCTAATTTCCCCACTGTCATGGAGCGGCTGCTTATTCCCATTCCCGAAAAGGGTTACGAAGTGCCCGACAAACAAGGGTTGCGCGATGAGATCCTGACGCTCATATCTGCTGGAGATGACACCACCGGCATTGCCAATACTGTCACCCTGTTCAACATCATCCACAACCGGACGATCCACGACCGTCTCCTGGCGGAGTTGAAGACGGTCATGCCGACGCCAACCTCTCATGCCCAATACATCCAGCTCGAGCAGCTGCCGTATCTGGTCTGTCTGCTATCATAATCAATTGTCGCCGTCTACAGTAGAGTCAGGCTAACCGAGATGTCATACACAACAGACAGCAGTCATCAAGGAAGGATTGCGATACTCATCCCCCGCCGCCTCCCGTACTCCGCGCCTTGTGCCCCCCGGTGGCGTTCGTCTTCCTGATGGTCGATTTATCCCTGCTGGCACACGAGTGGGCATGGCCATCTACCACATCCACTATAATGAGGACCTCTTTGAGAACCCGCATGAGTTTGATCCGGAGCGATGGTTGCAGGGACCGGAAATCACGGCAAAGAGAGCCAAGTTTCTGGTACCCTTCTCGCGGGGCAGTCGTTCATGTTTAGGAATCAAGTATGTAGAATCCTTGCCCGTACTGATATTGACTGACATTTTTGGTATAGTCTGGCGTACATGGAAATGTATATGGCAATTGCGTACATTGTGCGACGATTTGACCTGGAGTTGGTGGGCACGACACCGGAGGACATGAAGTGGGATGACATGGTCGTGCCACAGTTCCACGGAGAGTTCCGGGCACTCACGAAGAGGCGCATGGACTAAGAAAGCCGGTTTAAAGTATAAGTGGAATGTCTCAATGGCATATAAGATGTAATATTCTCTAAGCTTAATGGGGAGGGGCGCCATGCGGTACCAATATATTTTGTCAATTCCTTTCGGGGGCACAGATCTGCCCGCTCGTACGTGGCCGCCCAATATTGGCGCAAATTTACGTTTGGACTTATAAACAATACATGGTTAAATATTCGGCACACTATAAACTCCTTTTTATCATAATAATATTAACCTTCTATAAAAATTGGGTTTGAGTCCGTCGAGTTTGGTTAAACTTCAACGAATGAACGCAAAAACCTTATGTGTTTAGATAGATATATCTTGTCCTCAGTCGTGTATTTATACTCCCCGAGATATATTCTAGTTAGCACTTACTGCTAGGATATTGCCTTTATAGGTTCATATTATTTTAAGGGTTAGTATGACTTGGCGGATGTCCCGAGACCTCTAAAAACACCCATTGCATAATATATTTGACAGAAGAATGTTAAGGTATACTTCAGATAACTGCAGGTCAAAGAAGCATACAAACCGTACTTAGTCTTGTCAAATTGTTACAATACGTGGGTGTCACCCCTACAAGCATGGGAGATTAACCCTCCAGTTATGGCAATCGGCCAACCGTCTTCCAAAAACTTCAAACGAAGATGAGGGATGGGGATATCATAGTTGCTCAAATTCAATGCATAACAGTCCAATAATGCCTTAATGTACATGATCAAGCATCCAGCTCCTTTGTAAAGTGCTTCACCAAATGCTGCACAGTCGGGCATTTCCAGATCAACGTTGGCCCGACTGGCACCTTGAGCGTCTGTTGCAGGGTCATTCGGAAATTGACCGTCATCACTGAATCCATACCCATCTCTGCCAATGCCACAGCATCATCGATCTCGTCCTCCTTGACCGATAACGTCTTCGACACACATCCATTAATGACATCCCGGAGATGTTGCTCCAACTCCCTTCCACTCAACTTTACTTCCTGGCTACCCGCGGGATGCTCTCCAGCATTGACAACCTCTGCCTTCCTTGTAGCGATGTCCGTAAGAATAGGATGGGGCAAGGGCTCTCCACCTTCTAACACTCTCGCTCGCACAATTACTGCATGATCTGTGCCTCCGCCACCAGTGGATGCCACGGCACTCCAGGCCCGGAACGCCTCGTCGGGTGTGATATCGGTGATTCCGCGCGCGTAGAGCTCCGCTTCCATCGCGCCGTTGGCGGACTGCCCCATGCCCATTCCACGCCACGTTGTCCAGAGCAGCGAGATGGCATTATCACCCTGGGCTCTGCGAGACCGAGCGAGGCCATCGAGAAAGGCGTTTCCGCTGGCGTACGATGCTTGCCCGGGAAATCCGAGCAGCTGACCGCATGAGGAGAACAGAACGAAGAAGTCCAGGGACGCTGGAGGGAAGACATCATGTAAGTTGAGAGCACCTTTGATCTTAGGCGCTAGTACAGACTCCAGGACGTCCGGGGTCACTTGTTCAACAAGCTGGTCACTGACAATTCCAGCGGCATGGATAACACCAGCTACGGGAGGAAGGTTCAGAGTCTCCAGGGTGGACCGAAGTCCGGAGGCAGCCATGGGCAGAGAGATGTCGATGGGAAGGCAGTGGACCGTGGCTCCGAGGCGTTCGAGGGCCAAAATGCTTTGGATGGTAGGATTGTTCATATGCGTGGAGGACCATGTGCTGCGCGGAGGAAGAGCGCGACGAGACAGCAAGAGGAGGCGCCGAGCGCCTTGAGTAACCATCCAGTGGGCAACTGACAGTCCAAGAGCACCCAGTCCGCCGGTGATGAGATAGGTCGAGGCCGGAGAGAAGGTGAGAGTCGTAAAGGAGGAAGAAGCAGATGGAAGCGGCCGAAGACGAGCAATGCGTGGGACGCCATCTTTGATCCTGACCACGTCGGCATCCCGAACATAGCGCATGGCCATAAGTGGGAGAGAGACAGTGTCTTCGACCTCAATGAGACTACCCCAGATGTCAGGGTGTTCAGCCTGGATGATTCGGCTGAGACCCGAAAGAGCGCTGTGACCGAGTTCGGTTCCTGCGGTGAGGACGAAGACACGCGTAGTTGAAGAAGCAGCCGCAGTGATAGTCTGTATGATTGAAACAAGGTCATTACAGGATCTGGTTGCCGTATCAAAGACATCTATCATGGTCTGTGGCAGATAGACCACCGCGAGAGAAGTATGACTGGTCAAGGGTAGGTCCGAAGCGGCCTGGTGGACGGAGGACGAGATGGCCAGCGCATCGAGCTGGCTCTGATATTGTTCCAGCCGAGGATCGGTGATGTCTGGCGTGACAAAGGCGATGTGGCTGAATTCCGAAGGGTCCTCGACAAGTGCTGCCGGAGGCCATTGAATCTGGTGGACTAGACCTGCAGTGCTCTTTCGCGAGAAGCTCTCGCCCTCTAAACCGGCAAATGACATGCCCTGGATCTCCATCAAGACTGTGCCATCCTCGCCAGTAAGGGTCACATCAGCCGTGCACTCGCTGGTGGATGCGACTTTCGCGCAGTGGATGTAGACTACTCGCGGGATAGGGATCTCGTGGACGGCAACGACACGACGCACTGACGTGGGCATGCGAAGCAGAGGCTGGCGGTGCCAAAGAGTAGAGGAGATGGAGGTCGCAGCATCCATGAGCGAGGTCAAGAAGTCATTCATCCCTCCCATATTATCCGGGTTTGCGTCTACCCGTGCCAGCATCTCGTCGTCGCTGGCGACATGGTGGGTCACTTGCCACGGAAAGCCCATGGCAGATACACCTACGGATGCTAGGTAGTCAATGGAAAAGCTGTCAGCCAGCTTTTGAGGCAATCGCTTGCGCAATTCTGACAGGTCCATACGACTCTGACTAGGCAAAACCTTCGCGGCACCCACTGCAGCCGTGGTGTTTACCAACCAGGACCCATCCTCTTGGCTGCTCGACTCCTCCAGGCACGAAGTGATTGTAATGTTGCGGGTGTTGTGGCGGATCTGGACCTTGCGAGCCGGCGACACCACAACCGGGACTTGAAGCGACACCTGCTCTACACACCGGGGCGTCAGAGCCTGCAGGAATGTGCGCAGCAACACCGCCGCCGGCACGATCTCGGAACCATGGAGCGGGTGATGACCGGGAAATGGCCGGTTCTCCTCCTCTAAGCGGGTCTGATACAGCACCTCTTCTGTACCCCAAAGGGCGATGCGTTTCCCCAGAAGGTTGTTAGCAGCCGGGTCGTGGGTGGTTTCGAGTTGGGATGATGCCGCTGTTTGGCTCACGGCTCGATAGAATGGTTGGTGGTGCCAGAGAGTACCGGGTACGCTCGAGTTCCATGGCGCATTAGGGTCCAACTCATTGAATTTGATGGCACAACCGAAGCAATGCAGTCGACCTGTCGCGGCCAAAATGCTCTTTAGCGCAGGCTGGCGACGTACCATGGTAGGGGTGACGAGAACGGGATCCTCGGTACATTCCCCCATAGTTTCCACGACGGAGTGTGTCACGATGGGGTGACTAGACACTTCCACCAGGGCACGGAAGCCATCTTGTGCAATGGCGGCGATAGCAGACTGCAGCCGGACGGGCTGGATCATGTTGGTCACCCAGTACTGGGCATCGCGCAAAACCTCGGAACGGGGATCCGGCTGCGAGGTCGAAAAGAGCGCCCGGTTGGGGACACGAGGATGAAGTTCTCCCCGCAGCGACTCATATAGAGGCTTGGCCAACCTCTCCAGCATTGGCGTATGAAAGGGCACGTCCGAGGCAACCATACGCACCTCAATTCCCTCTTCGCGCCACTGATCTGAGAGTTGCTTAACGGCGTCCACCTCACCAGACAAAACACACGCGCTAGGGGATGTTTCAATCGCTACCCAAACTCCACTTTGCCTGCCAATACGCGTACGAGCCTCCTCAGCAGATACTCGCACTAGAGCCATAGCGCCTTGCCCCATGAGCTCGCGATATAGCCGCGCCCGACGGCACACGACGAGAGCCCCTTCGCGCCAGGTCAAAGCGCCGGACACCACGGCTGCGGCGGCCTCGCCTAAGGAGTGGCCCACGACGGCACTGGGAGGCCCTGACTCAATCTCTAGGACGGCTGCAATGCCAAGATGCATCAGGAACGTCATGACCTGTACCACGTCGGAGCGATCGGGGCATCCCTTTTTCAGAGTTTCAATGGCGGAGAATCCTACCTCATCCTGGATGATGGGCTCTAGGTTGCGGACCACCTCCTCGAATGCCGGACTCGATTCGAATAACTCACGGCCCATGTCTGCCCACTGCGCACCATGACCAGAAAAGATCCACACCGGGCCCTTAACGGCCTTAGCATCGATCTTGTCCTTGATAACCCATCGATTCGGTGCCTCCTTGCAAACATCATCGAGTGCGGCAATGGCATCGGGGACGGAGTCCGCCACAATGGCATGGCGGTAGCGATGGTGAGCCCGGCGTTGAGCCAGAGTCGAAGAGACGGTCTTGAGAGATACAGACGCTTCATTCTCGCTAAGCCATTGCTTTAGAGCGCCCGCGGCGGCGGAAACCCGACGAGCCTGGGGTGCAGAAATGAGGAGAAGAACGGGCGAAGGATCATCGCCGGTAGGGATCTGCGACAGACGCTCGGCAAATTCGGAGTGTCCTGCAAATGCTTCGAGTACCGCGTGCGACACAGTACCACTATATCCGTATGATGCCACGGCCGCGCGTAAAGGATGAATCGGCCCCGGGCACGGCAAGGTCACCAGCTCGCGCGGTGGACACAGCAGATTCTCGTTCCAAGCAATTTTGCTATTCAGAGTCTTGAGATTGGCCTGCGGGGGAACCTGGCCGTGGCGAAGAACCAGTACCGCTTTGATGAGTCCCATCACTCCGGCACCGGCCTCCAAATGACCAATGTTGGGCTTGATGGAGCCGATATAGCAGGGATCAGATGGGCTGCGCCCCGATCCCGCACCATAGACTTCGGCCAGAGCGTTGGTTTCGGTCGGATCGCCCAGGGATGTGGACGTCGCATGAGCTTCGACGTAGTTGATCGAATCAGCAGACACTTTGGCCTCTGCGAGAGCCTTCTGGGCCACTAGTAGTTGGGCACGCGCATTGGGGGCCATGATCCCCAAGGTCTTGCCATCCGAAGCGACTGCACTGCCCTTGAGCACAGCCAGCACATGGTCGCCATCTGCAAGTGCCTTGTCCAGTCGCTTGAGAATCACGACGCCTGCCCCTTCTCCTCTACCATAGCCGCTGGCGGTCTCATCGAAGGAGCGACACTTGCCATCGGTGGATATAGCTCCAGCTTCGTCCAGCACTCGGGTCAAGCCGGGACCAAGCAGAGCATTGACCCCACCTGCTATTGCCAGGTCAGTTTCTCCAGCCCGGATTGCCTGGCGTGCATGGTGGACAGCCACCAAGGAGGAAGCACAAGCTGCGTCCAAGGCAACGCTGGGCCCCATGAGATCCAAAATATATGAGATCCGGCTCGGGATCCCACAATAGGCAGTGCCCACCCCCATGTGAGCGTCAACATTCGGCAGATCTTCGAGGAGTAACTTGGCGTAGTCGTCTGAATTTACCCCCATGTAGACCGAGGTGTTGGAACCCGCAAGCTGGGGAGGTGATATTCCGGCATTTTCCAGGGCCTCCCAGGCAACCTCCAGCGCAAGGCGTTGCTGAGGATCCATTTGCTCCGCCTCTCTGGGTGAAATGGAGAAGAATGCAGCATCAAAATGATCAATGTCGTCGAGGAAGTAACCCTTGGCTGTGGTCTGGGCGAGCAGGGCCGCATTGCGAGGATGGCGCTGTCGATAAGGCTCCCAACGCCAATCGGGAAGGCTACCAGATGCATCCCCCTTCTTCAGGAGGTATTGCCATAGACTGTCGGGTGAGCGGACGTCTCCGGGCGTGCGACAGGCCATTCCAATAATGGCGACATCAGCAAGGGCATCTCCAGGCCTGTCCGGGACTTCGTGGCCCTCGGTACTGGTCGCCGGCGTGGTAAATTCCTTGCCGTTGTCGGAGCCCTCAGCAGGGGTGGAGAACTTTGTGCTGCTTCTAGAGGCGGGCATGATGGTGTGTACAAGGCCTGGCATGTTGAGTGATGAGAAGCATGAGAAAAAAATCAAGTTGCTGGGGGGGGAGATAAGTACCGTGAGATGACAGTGAGGCATCGAGGGCTATCGAGGGCCGGCGTTGCCAGCTCGCCGTCGGCCGAAGTGGGACGGGGAAATATGGACGGAGAGATTCAAAGCCGACAAATAGATATGGCGTTGGCTCAGCTGAAGCCGGCTGACAATTCATCAGACCGACGCGATGGATCTGATCGACCAGTCTGATCTACTCTGGGGAAGTTCAAATTATATCCATGGTCGTTGTTCCCCTTCCCCTTCCTCATTCTCTCATCCACCTTCTTCATACTCGCCCCCCTCACAACAAACAATATAGTCGCAATATTGTCATGTCTACTACTAAGCGCTCGGTAACGACGAGGCCGTCCACTTCGTCACGGAACGTGCCACGCGGCATCTGGGAGCTAGCCCGATTGCATACTCGCGAATCCTGGCTATGCTGGTATCCATCTATCTGGGGAGCGTGTGTAGCTGCGGGTGTATCAGACACCGTGCTCGAGCCGGTGGCTTTCGCCAGGTTCCTATTCGGCATCTGGGCCAGCGTAACCGCAACTCATTGTGCCTTTTGCACCTTCAAGTCTGTACCATTTTGCTTTGTTGTTCCCCGGTACTCTTCTGACTACGGGCAGTGACATTTGTGACCAGAGCTTGGATAAGCACGTCCAGCGTTGCAAGGTGCGCCCTCTTCCATCCGGAATGATTAGCACGCCAGAAGCCTTGCTTGCCTTTGTCTGTTGGGTGCCCTTTACGTTCGCCATTACCTGGGCTACTCTGGGTCCGGCTGTGACGGTGAGCTTCATACCCGTCTGGGTATTGAGTGTGATCTACCCTTTTATGAAGCGCCTTATGCCCTTTCCACAAGTTGTTCTTGGGGCAATCATAGGAGGCGCGGTGTTTCCAGGTTGGGTGGGTGTTACCGGGGATCTGGATCATCTCGACCAGGCATTGCCGCTATTTTTCGCTACAGCCGCATGGGTTGTCTACTTTGACGTTTTCTATGCGACACAAGACCTGCCGGACGACAAGAAGGCTGGCGTCAAATCGCTCGCGGTCTGGATGGGACCCAATGTCAAGATCCTCCTCGCGGGGCTCGGAATCCTACAGATTGCCTTCTTCGCCATGACAGCACTGCGGGCCGATCTTTCCCTCATCTTCTGGATACTGGGAATTGGAGTGTGGGCCGTCAGTGTGCCATGGCATGTCCTGTCCTTGAACCTCAAGGACCGACACTCCGGCGGATGGGTCTTCAAAGCGAATATCAAACTAGGATTGTATATGACGGGAGTCTCTTTATTGGAACTCGTTCTGTTGAGGGTGCATCACGCACCCATGAAAGTATACTAGTGGACCTCAATGGCCGCTGCCGTGTGTGGAAGATGATGTGGAGTCATTGAATAAGTTCTTGCGTGTTTGTGGTTGCCAGTCATATGGGCATATATATATATGTATATATATGTACAGTCGTTTAGCAGCAGGACCAGAACGAGCACTTTTTTCAGCAATAGAACTTCGTCATAATAGTCACGTAGAACAGTATCAACTGAACAGCATTCGCCCCAGTTCCCATGGAATTCATCATACGCGCCTCGGGTTACAATGACCGTTCTTAGTCTAGTCAACTGAATATATTCTGGATGATCCTTCGGGCACGCAAAGTCCAGGATTCTCCTGAACTCGCGCGGATTTCCGGCCGAGCCGCTCGGCCTTGAATTCCACATACTCGCCTATTCTAAAGTGTTGTATATAACCGACACAGAACCATCTGCCTCTTACTCGAGCCAGCAGCCCATCCATTACCAATCAAACGTTCGCGATGGACCGTATCGACGTACACCATCACTTTATCCCCCCCGCTTATGTTGAGGGTGAGCATTGGCCTCCATCAACCAGTACTGTGCTTTGACTCACTTCACCTTTCCCAAACAGCATTCAAGACCACTGGAGGAGATCCCTCGGGGTGGCATCTCCCCCAATGGACGCCGGAATCCAGTCTCTCGCTGATGGACTCCCACAACACCCGAACGGCCATCCTTTCCCTGACTGCGCCGGGCACTTCCATCCTGGCCCACTCGCCTGGAGCTTCGGCCACCCTCGCCCGAGAAATTAATCTTTACGCAGCGAAGGTGCACAATGAAAATCCGACCCGTTTCGGCTTCTTCGCGAGTCTACCCCATCTGACCCCCGACACCATCCCTGCTGCTATCGAGGAGGCGATCTACGCGCTAGAGACCCTACATGCAGATGGGATCACGCTATACACCCGCTATACTGGAACCGGCTATCTTGGGCATGACGCCTTTGCGCCTCTATGGGAGGAACTGAACCGCCGCAAGGCCGTCGTGTTCATCCATCCGACGAATACGGCGGCGGACGCTCGGAACCGGTCGATCCTCGTCAATCCTGCGCTTCCCCAGCCGATTATTGACTACCCGCATGAGACGTGCAGGACGGCTGTCGATCTGATTACGTCTGGCACTATCTCCCGCAACCCGGATGTCAAGATCATCCTTTCCCATGGCGGTGGCACATTGCCTATCCTTGCGACACGCGCAGCACATCTTCTTTACGATGCCAAGTTGACCAGCATCAGCCCAGAAGACTTTCTGGAGCAGGCACGGAGCTTCTATTTTGATCTGGCGTTGTCTGGCAACGATGAAAACATGCAGTTACTGGTGGGGAGGAATGGATTTGCAAAGGGGGGGCATGTCTTCTATGGCAGTGACTTCCCCTATGCACCGGTCAGTACGATCAACAAATATGTGCGGATGATGGAAGGGTTCTCGGTCCAGGGCGAGGAGGTGGAAAAGGCAATTGCCAGAGATTCGGCCGTGAAGTTGTTTCCGCGATTCCAGATGCCTGCAGACTTACGTGTCGGAAAGACCAATAATTGGGGCGCGTTTTCCGCCTGCTTATTGCTCCCTGTTGGTTTATCAGCTCTTTATTCCGTACTACAGTCTCGTGTTCATACTTATAGTACCTAGTTAGAATCTAAACCTTGTCTCTTCGCTTGGGTTTATCTTTTGATTTTGCTTTTCCAGCCTCTGCTTCGTTTTCTTCTTTCATTCCTCTTTTTCCCTGCTTTCTTTCTTCTTTTCTTCTTTTTTCTTTTCTTTTCTTCTCTTCTTTTCTTATTTTTTTATTCGGCCGATTGAATGGCGTGGCAGTAAAATTGATGATCGCTCACACCCCCTTATATTTATCCCTATCATTTCACTTCAGCATTGATGATCAGACAGTGAAACTTCTTGAATCAGGCCTTCGTGTTTATTCAGCAGGATGGCGCTTGTTCATCTGACTGCGTTAGCTGCATGTGGGCTTTTGCTGGTAATTCTCCGCGCCGCCTTCAATAGTTGGAGATTGCAGCGAAAGCTACCGCCTGGTATGTACTGCTATATGCGATACTCTTCTATTATCTTTTTACTATACTCAATTAGGATGGTCAAACGGACATGTACGAGGGTCTAATGTGAGATAGGCCCCCCGGGTGCCCCGTTGATAGGTAATATTCTCCAATTACCCAAAGTTCGGGCGCATCAAAAGTACGTATCCATTCTGAGGAAAAGCCAAAGCAGTATCTGACGGGAAATAGATTCACCGAGTGGGCAAAAACCTATGGAGGTCTCTACAGCTTCCGTATTGGACCTGCGACCGCCGCGGTGGTTACGGACCGCGCTCTGGTCAAGGAGCTGTTCGATAAACGGAGCGCGCTGTACAGCTCACGTCCGACCTCATATGTGGGGCAGAACATCATCACACGGGGAGACCATCTCCTGGTCATGGACTATAGCGACAATTGGCGACTGTTTCGCAAAGCCATCAACCAGCACTTCATGGCCTCCATGTGTGAAAAAACACACGTCCGCCTGCTCGAGGCTGAGCATACGCAGATGATGCGCGACTTCCTCCTTCATCCCGAGAAACATATGCTGCACACCAAGCGCACAACTAATAGCATCATCATGAGCTTGCTGTTCGGTATACGCACTCCGTCATGGGACACCCCACATATGCAGGAATTGTATGAAATTATGGAAATCTGGTCCCAGATCATGGAGACCGGTGCCACCCCACCCGTGGATATCTTTCCGTGGCTGCATTGGGTGCCACAGCAGTGGCTGGGCCACTGGGTGGATCGCTCACAGACAGTGGCCCGTGGTATGAAGCGCCTGTATAGTTCATTTCACCGACGGGCTATCGAGGCACGTCGTAAGGCAGAGAGCACCTCCCAGTCTCGCGCCCGGACTTTTCTCGATGACGTGCTTGATCTTCAGGAGAAGCTTGGTCTCACAGATAACCAGGTCGACTTCTTGGGTGGGGTTATGATGGAGGGAGGATCAGATACGGGTTCCACAATGCTTCTGGTTATGATCCAAGCGTTGGCCCTTCATCCCGAGATTCAACAGCGAGCACGAGCTGAACTCGATGCTGTTTGTGGAGAACACCGATCTCCGACGTGGGAGGACTTTCCTCGTCTGCCTTATATCAACATGATCGTTAAAGAAACAATGCGCTGGCGGCCAGTTACACCCTTGGCCTTCCCACACGCCCTCAACAAGGATGACTGGGTGAATGGCTATTTCCTCCCCAAGGGAACCACCGTCTTCCTGAACGTCTGGGGCCTACATCATGACGAAAACATCTTTCCGAACCCCGACCAGTTCGACCCCTCGCGATTCGAAGGCCGACATAAGCTGGCGTTCGACTATGCCGCATCGCCCGACTACATGCAGCGCGATCATTACATCTACGGTGCCGGACGACGCCTGTGTCCTGGGATTCATCTGTCCGAGCGCAGCATGTTCCTGGGCGCTGCAAAACTTCTCTGGGCATTTAACTTTGAGCCGGCGCGCGATGAAAATGGCAATCCCATCCGAATCGATACCGACCCGGTCACCGGCTACACCGAGGGCTTCTTAGTCTGTCCGCGACCATACCAATGCAATGTCACGCCACGATCCCCCGCTCATGCGGAGACGATCCTCCGAGAATTTTCCCGGGCCGAATCAGAAGTTCTTTCTCAGTATGCGATGCCATAGGCGCTTCGCACTACACTCGCCCGAGCATCAACTGAGGTGGCTTCGGGTGGTTTGCTTTTGTTCGGCTAATAAGAGGACTAGTAATTTTGCTTTTTCTCGGTGGGGCTTTTGGTGAAGTACGGGTTGCCTAGCTGATGCCCAAAGTACCGGATGAGAAGATCCTAGGAAGAGAAAGTCTAGCCCGACGTGGTGCGTAAGCAGGCATTCGATAGAACAATCTGAAGATTCTTATCAAGATATAGCGTTCCGGTAGTTGGGTTGAAATTCCTTTTGCTGTCGTATCTTTGGAAAACACCGATCGGTCCATTAGGTGGTAGGATTGTTTGTTCGTGTGTATGATCTACAATGACTAGTGCTGACATACGCAGGGAGTCAATAGTCTTTTTTTTTCTTTTTTTCCCAGCAGATAACACGGCCCGGACTTCGGACTTGCGGTATGTATCCAGTCCTCGTCGAGCAAATGGTAATCGGTCCTCTTATCGCCGTGTCGGCACGGCATCCTTTAAGGCGGGATTGCCAATGTCCTCAAATGTTAGCTTGATTATCTTAGCGTTCAATATTGTCAGACATTATTTCTCTAAGCAAAGTTGCACTAAATCAATACGACCCTAATACCGTGGGTGCTAGCGGAACATTTACTTGCTGATTTCTGTCTCTCAATTCTATTCGCTGTTAAGATTTCAGCTTGACCGTGCTAGCAAAGGAAATACAAGAAATTAACGACGCATACATTTAGTCGGGTATTATCCTAAATTCATCAAGATGGTATCGCTTGTCATCTAAGCATGTTTGCTTTGTCCGAAGTGGGCGGACTCTGGGATACTTCCAATCCCATCACACGGGATGGTGTGGTGCCATCGAAGTAGGGTGTGCCAGAATATCACTTGGGTCCACAACCAACGAGGATGACCACGTCTCAAAATCAGAGAGACTGGCAAGAATGTCCAGGTCCGAGCCACCGTCGCTGTCTGCGACAAACACGCTACTCGGTGGTCCATGCTTGGTGCCAGAAGGCATTTGGGGTGCAGTAGTCGTAGAAGGGGCCTCTTGATTGCGGTGGATGTGGGTTCTGGAGGACGAAGATGACAAAGACGGCAAGGAGAAGATGCTCTTGTCTATTGTGTCCTCCTCAGTACCCTGAATTCCAAGTTCGAGGGAGTATGGGGAGAACTGATATTCATTTTCATCCAACCTGTCAGTGGTTTGGTTATCAGACTTCGGGTGCGAATGCAGGCGGTTGTGGAGGTCAACAAGAACCTGAATAGCCAGGGGTATTCGGTCCTCCGTTGAGCCTTCATCGGATTCCGGATTGTCTGCACGAGTTGCTCCGAATGAATCCTGCGGGACTTGGTAATGGGATACAGTGTGGTCGATGATTTCATCGATGCAATATCGAGCCAGCACGATGTCACCTGATTCCGGAAAGGTATGGAGGTACACGAGGATAAGAAACACACATTGCAGAGGTCCATAGTGTCGGTAGCAAAACCATACGTAGGGGGAGAAGGCAGGGGTTTGATAGAGCTGGAGGAATATACGCAAGTAGCTCACGCAGAGATGTGCCACGCTAGAGGTTCAACTTTTGTCAATGAGGCTGTCGTAGCAGATCGTAAGGTTGTCAGGGGAACCATACCTGGTCCATGCCCTGCATGATTGCGGATCTGCACTGTCCGGGGCAGGTAAGAAAGGCTTTTGTAGAATAACAGCTACCTCGAATTTGAGAAGGACCAACATAATTCTTGTCCAAGTGGAGAAAACAGTTGGATGAGTGCCATCATCCTTATAAAGTGCTGGGTGAGTGACTGGAGATGCTTTGGCTAAGCGGGAGGGGATAAATCCTTTTTCAGGAATCCCTTGTGAAGGGACACGGGCAATCAAGGTATCAAGCTTCTGTTGCAGCTTTTTCGCCGACGCCACAAGCTCAGTAAGTTCAGTCTGAGCTAGACGTCTTCCATTTTGCAGGCGCGACACGATCTTTGATTGCAGACGCGCCGTTTCAGAGCGCGCTATGGCGAGTATCACGGTTAAGGACTGCGCCGAAGGACGAGGGACTGGTTCCGGGGAACGATGATTAGAAAGGACCCCGATATCTCCATCGCGTGTATCAGCTATCATGCTGACAATATATAGCGCCTCGGTAGCACAGCATGGGGGTAGGCCTGTGGAGATGCTGGACTGTACGTCAAGCCCAATGATGTACCACCAGACCCGGCGACGAATTTCCCGATCTACGGGGCTCAATGAAGATGACCAAGTTCCTTCTCGATGCAATCCCATACTCTGGGCGATGCGGACTGTTGTGCCGACGGAGACCATATTGCGCATCGGCGCAACATGGCTGTCCAAGAACGGTGCAGTCAGCAATGTAGACACTAGCGTGTTCAATGTCGGGTGTTCGAGATGCTGGCATAGAGACAGACTTGTCGTATAGGCCGACTTCAAGTGCTTGATGGTCGTTTCCTTCCGCAGGCTCTGCAGATTGGTGCATGCCCAGCTGGTCGGTGGTGCAGCGGATGCGCCACAATACAGGATGGCAAAGAGAAGGCAGAGAAAGGTTGGGTCATCGCGGACCTTTTCTGGGGGTAACGCTCTATCGCTGTTGCGACACCATTCCCAAAAATTATCGTAGTCCGCCCGTAGAGTCGGGCCATGCACCAGAGGAGAAAGCGGCCACACCGCGAAGAAGAAGGCATCGAGGAGGGCATCGCTCACGGGCTTGGTAGGTAGGGACCGTAATAGATTGAACATTCCCAAAGAGGATATATGTGTCAGAGGCTGTTCCGTTGAGGCATCACGGTTGCAGTCGAAGAAATCATCGCTCAGGGTTTCCTGCCGATTCCCCAACAATCCAGGTTAGCTCATGCGTATCCGCGGGAACTGCGCTTACATGGTTGGGCAGCACTGACTTTCCCGGCCACAAAGCCCCAAAACGCTTGACCAATATACCGTACACGTGCGCCCCGTCGTACACTCAGATAATCAGGACTAAGTAGACCACTGTGACTTGTAGATGTAGAAGGCGCTCTGGCTGATTCTGAGACCGCTGGGGAAGCATCCTGGGAGACACTCGACGTCCTGCTTGTTCCTGCCCGAGAGGATGCGTGATGGTTATCGGGTAGCTGGATGGCCTCTTCCCAGGAAGGTACTGTCGGATATACCAAATCCACCTGCGGATGGCTTGATGGCGCCGGAGTGAGTATAGTGGAAGAATGGTGGGGATGAGGAACAGAGCTAGCGTCGCATTTGGCTTGGGTAGAGCGTCTCTGAGGAGGAGGAGCAGAAGCAGGAGAAATGGTCGGACGCGGAAGTGGAGCCTCATCGCTGAGATCTAATACATTGCCAGAGCCTTGTGACATCCAGTGCGACCAAGTAAATCCTCCTGTACGCTCCTCCGAACGGTTGGCACAAAACTCCGATCCATTGGGGTTATCACCCTGAGGCACAGGAGGAGGAGATACTTGGCGTACGCGGCCGGTAAACTCATCGCGGACCATAGTCTTATAGACACAATTCTCCTTCATCCGGACACAGTTGGCGCATTCCGGGTGTTCGCGGCCGCAGCGAACTTTGCGACGGCGGCAGACAATGCAACTCAGCGATAATCGGGGCCTTTTGATCTGGCGAGGCTCAGGTGGGGGTGGCATTGTAGCACAAGTGTCTCACTAGTAATTAGATGGAAGGGTGGTGTTGAAAGTAGCGAGATATTTAGTACCTATACGATAAAGAGTAGGACTACCAGTATGATGGAGTAGATAGTGGTGATGGCAGTAGGAAACACATAAACTACTGCCGGCGTCACTATCTACTAGGATAGATATAAAAAGTGTGGGTTTCCCGTAGTCGATAATAACCAGGATTGCTCTACAGCCAGCCCCACCCGCCTTGTGGCAAGGCAGGGACCGCTGCCTTGTCCAAGTGCCACTTTGACAGATGATGGGATAGTGCGGTGAAACTAAGTAAGCAAGCAGCGGGCGGCAGAAGTCGAGCTGATGATGAACTGCACGTTGTCGATCCAGGCCCCGGCGGTCGCTGCTGCATTGGTCCAAGGTCTTGATATTTCGAGGGTCCAGGCTGTCGCGTCCCAAGGAGTAAGCAACTTACGGGATCGGATTAACTAAATCAAGTTGCAGCGCGGCGAGCGAGTTTGTCCGAGGCTAGTATTGCCCTCGGAGTTCCCGCCAATTATGGGTCTTCCTTATCTTAGTTTATTCCCCCTTTGCAGCTTCTATTACCCACACGAAGATTGACATTTGCCCCACAGCATCTTATTTGGCCCTCTGTATGCCATCCATTCCCCGATAAGATGTAATGGCATTCATTCATTGATCCTGCTCAGCCCAGGCTAGTAGTTCTCTTCTCATAGTACAGAGTACATCATTGCTTTATAGGGCTAAATGCCTCGTACCAAGAGGAAGTTTGGTGTCCACCTCTGAAATATGAGTCGATACAAAAGCAACACTAACAATAAATCTCTTTTCTTGTCGATCGGGAACTGTAACAAGCAGTACTAGTAGTTTGGCAGCAAATATACGGCCTTCGTGGGGTTAAATAAGTAAACTTTAACATCATATCTCCTGTTGCTCGGCTGTATGTACCTCTTCATATTTATATGACTGTGTGACTACTAGGCCGGAAATGTTTTTTTCCCCGGTCGGGTAGTAGTACAGGTATCATTCCATGCTGTAGGCACAAGGCAGGCGGCCAATTGTTCCGCTCCAGATAAGGGCTTAGTACACACGGAAAACGTACACATGGAAAAGGAATTAAGTAAATCCATCAGACTAATATTAGAATGAATTAGAGATTAAATTATCTTTTTTATCCCGCCATTTTCTTATACAAATCAAGTGTGTGGAATACGGTAATCGTTTACTAGCTATACAAACACCTTCTATAGTCTGGTATGGCTGGTGCTGTATGGTTTGTGCAAGAAAATCAACTGTCACCAGATCAGGTTCAGGGAAATTCACATTACTACTAGTGGTGTTATCCTCGAAGGCAGCTCTGTCTCACCCCCATGCCCAGTCACTGAGGGCCGAGGGTATTCCCACAGCGATCCATAGTATTTCCACTGACTACATGGAGGCGGTTCAATCTATGTAAGCTTCAACATAAGATCATAATTCTATCTTTTACACCATATGTTGGGATGGCCTTTGTGTAGGTGTAAAGGTCTGTAGGAAACCCCCGACGGAAGAAAACCTACAAAGTTCTTTACTAAACACTCCGATACAACATGACATATTTAAGATACAGCATCAGTCGTTGTCATGACAAGTTGAAGACGCCAAATTCAGAATGATCATGCCGGCGGCCTTGGGTACCATTCACAGTCAGGCGCTACCCAATCACTTGACCATTCAATGGTCTCGAAGCAAGTTGGGATGCCCTTTTCATCAGTATCAAAGAAACAAAATTTTGTTCCCCCTCTCTTGCCCAAGAAGTAACCCTGAGTAGACGGCCTGAAGCCTCTCTTCCTCATCTCCTCTATCCGTTCGTCCATTGATAGGGTATCCATGGTGAAAGCAATGCTCTGCACTTCTGCTTTGTTGCCATCCTCGTCCAAGCGATCCTTGAGAGCTGACTTTCCTTTAATGGGGCTCATAACCTCAATGACCGGCGCCTTTGAATCGGAATTATACGCGAAGGCGACATCAATTTCATATAGATCTGGTCCTTCCTCATCGTAGTATTTCTGATCCGAAACAGTTTCGGAATTGAAGTGGTATACTTGGAAAGGACCCATGCCGACCTTGCCTAATCTGTCGAGGGTTTCGTGAAAGTTTGGTGTAGCAATGCATACCTGGTTGAGGTTTCCGAGAAGATTGCCTGAGGACATGATGATGGGGTGTGAAGCCGATGAGTAAGAGACTGGAGTTTGGACCTTCAGAAGGGAGCTCGCTATTGAGTATAGAGCAGCGGAGACTAAATCGTGTTAATAGACTGGTACGATTAACTCGGGGCTTTGTTTCAATCGTGAAATGATAGTTATATATCAAAGGCTGGCCACCAGCAGACCTAATATCTCGGCGTCGTAGTAATCATAGCAGCTGTTTTCATCATGACTCCACGCTGTTGGGGTAGGAACAGTATAGCTTTAGAGTATCATGATGATGTAGTAGGATCTTAATTGGCTCTCATTGTATACTATCAGAATTAATTAATATAGCTTTTTTTTAGGTGTCATAGTAATAGTAGCACCCGTTTTCATCATGACTCCATGCTATAGGAGTGGGTATAGTGCAGCGTTAAAGAATCAAGATGATGTAGTAGTATTGTCTTTTAACTATGGCTTTATAGTACTGGGATGGGTCAAGCAGAGCTTTACCGAAGGTATAATAGTAATGATAGCACAATTTACATCATGACTTAATGTTATTGGGGTAGGTGTGGTATAGCTTCCGTTGGGGTACAATAGTTGGAGTACAGCTGCGTGTTGGAGTACATCCGTTTATTCAGTCCCATCCCGCCCCACCTGGTCGGTTGCGGATAACACGTGCAACACCTCCGACCGCTGCAACAGGCGCTTCAAAGAGGCTCCCCTCGACAATTTAATACGAACTCTAGCTCGACATTTGGCAAACCGCCAGCCAGGAGCTACATGCGCAGTATTATACTATTTTCTTAAATGTCCGAGATCACGAGTGGTACAGAAAGTAACTTATCTTACTACCACATCTACATGCTCTGCAACATAAAAATTAGTTTGTTATAAATCGAGCTGCTCTGAATTACTAGCGAAGATTTCTTTATTCTCCTAAATCAGTGTGCCCTCTACAGTGATTATAAGTGTAGTGGTTTGAATGTTATAGCATTCCTTATTTGTTTTATCTATTATTGCAAGAGCTTATTAGATAGTAGTCTTAATCTTTCAAGTCGGTATCACAAACCCTTTGATCTGAATATATATTCTTGCAGGAGCCTCGAGTCCTTTACTGACTCGACAAGTTATCAGGTAATTGCATATGCGCCCACACACGCGAGCAACGTTCCAGGTCACGATGGCTATTTGCGCACTCCCTACGAGTCTGTCAGGAATAGCATCCTCAACAGTCGAATTGGCCAGCATGTAAACCCCAAATGCGCCAAGGAAGCGCTGCGGCATTGCATCTGGGTTTCAGAGCAGCTATTCTAATATCCTGGTGAGTTCACACTTAAATCAGACGCGGGAGATACACTGGGAAGACCCAATCGGGGAATCAGATCTGTTCTCGCATCTCTTCCATCTTCGGGTCTTCAAGATGATGAGGCCATTGAAGAAGTATTTGGGAACAGCAGAAACATAGTGTATCTAAGAAAAGCCTCATCAGACAATGGCATTTACCTTGAGTGTAAAGATTGGTAGCCTAAAAGACAGACTGCAAGGAGATCCGTGTGGCAATCACAAGCTCTACTTCGCTGAAGAAGTATGACTCCCACCCGCACACCGGTAGCCGGCCGCCTGTCGAATTCACCGATATCCCACAGGAGAGACACCCAGTTCCCGCAATTTCCTTCGAGCCTCTTCTTCCTGCTTCTTTCACTCCCCGATCTCAATTTTCTTTCAAGCAAACCTCCTAAGATCCTCCTCATATTGCCATCGCTCGTCATCAACAGGCCTCTTTGAGCGGCTGTCCAGGTTCTTTCTCGAAGGCTTTTCCTCACAAAGGATCCCCATATCATGAATGTCTCGCGTCTAGTGTCGTTTTCGATCAGCTTGCAGTTTGTTCCAGACCTTGTTAGATACCCCTGGATGATGAGACCCATTTAGATCGGCCTTTCTTGAAGTAGTATTGAGGTTAGTGTCTGGTGATGTTGTCAGCTTAGTCTTGTTGCTTCGCCCAAGAGGTAGCTGTGAGAGAGGGTGCCGCGGGGGTCGGTCTAGCTGTTGCTGGCATGATAGTACGGGGAAGCTGGGAAATTCGGGACGGTCGCTGTCGTCCATAACTGTCACTCCTGGATAGCAAATACTACCATGTGATTAATATTCTTGTTATAACCTGCCAGGCTAATAAGCAGACTCTTGAAGAATTACATTTTGTTGAACAGTCTACCTGCTGGTTCATGGTCTCTTTTCAAAATATGCTATTCGCGAGCCAGTATGTCTTGTTGATAAAGAGAACTCGATGCAGTCTTTTTTTCCCGAGAAGTCTTTCGGTTTTTGGGCCGGTTGAAGAGTACTTCACTACATCGGGTGTCTCGAGAATGAATATCCATGTCCTAGAAGACCTGTTCTATACGGCATGCGGTTGAAATCTTGCCAGGTTCTAGATTTTGGTCAGTTAATGTATAAGCCTGCTAAAAATAATGGAGTTTGTATATATCTGGGAGGCTGTGGAAGAGGCAATCGAAAGGAATCGTTTTATGTATATCTAATCTGAGTTTCTTCATATTTCTAGTTTTATTCTGATACTTCTTGCGTCGGGTAATAAGGTGCTTATGATCTATAATATCTCCAAACAACTTTTGATAATTGGTGACTGTATTCTGATCCTGGCTAAAATCAAAATCGAAGTCTAGTGGCTTTAGAATGTCCATATTTCGTCTTTCGCGCGGACAGCTGCTGTTGGTGGTAACAAAACTGCCTCCTTTTCTTTGAGTGGCTGCTCGATAAATAAGGCTTCTTCAAAGCACATCCGCTGATGGCCATATTGAATGCTTCTCTGGCAAAGGCATGCACATAGGGTAGACTATCGAGGAAAGGGCTGATCAGGGTCCGTTGTGGGACTGATGAAATTTCTGCTTCATGGGCCGTACATACATTGTAGCTTACGCGATTTCCTTCTATACTGTATTCGAATGGTGGTCTGAATAAAGGGAATTGATTTATAGGTGTGCCACCGCAGAGGCGCGACAAGACTTTAGCACAATATTGTCCTTGCGCATCATTTCTGGCGTAGCCGCCTCAGCAGTGGTTTCATTGGAAAGGAATATATGTAACAATGACATGCTTGACTGAGTGAATTGACATTCAAAGTGTAAAACTCAAGTTAGTACGGTGCAGCCAATGCTGACTGGGAACAACGGGTCACGGTCTGTCTCCTGTAGGTGCCATCTTCTGAAATGCTTCAAGCGCATCGTCATAAGCCAGCTGTTTTGCAGCTCCTATTCCGGCAAGAGATCCTATAATAGGCGAATCCAATCGTAAATTAGTAGGAAGGCAAAAAGAAAAGGTAGATATTTCACGACCGTGCTAGTCTCTACATACCAGACGCCAAGGCACTTGGAACGATCTTAGGCACAGAGGAAGACGCATCACCAGCCACGAAACATCCGCGAAGGCTGCTCTCGCCCATGGAAGACTTGGACACCACAAGTCCCCTCGACCGTGGCTGAGTCTCAAGGCCGAGCTCCTCGACAAGACTGGCAGCACGGTTTATGCTTTTAGGAGAGCTCAAAAGCATTCTAAGGTCCTTATCCTCTCCATCGTGAAAACATAACTTGACGCCTGTTCCATCTGGTATCTGTGAAATGAGTTTGATAGCGCGCCCATCAATATTGGCACCCCGGGCTATCGCAATATCGAGTGGTTGCCGCGTCTCAGGGTCAACAAGATATGGTGCTCCATTTGTAAATATGGTCAGATCATTGTGGGCAAGTGGAAAGGCAAGTAGAACAGAGTCCAAGTCATCCATTGAAGGCTGACCGAGAACACCAACACGACCACCTCGTTTCTCATAACCGTCACAAAAAAGACAGTGAACACTAACAATAGGCCACATTAGCCAAGCCATCCATGTAATTCGTTCCCTAGGTCACAGCACCGCAGAGCGATCTTCATGACTTACATTCCACGACCCCAAAGCTCCTTATATCCTTCTATGTCTGGAAAAATATCTTTTATTCCAGAAGCGATAATCAACTTCCGTCCGATCCATGTGCGACCTGTTCGGTCCGTGACTTCGAATCTGGGGTAGTCTTGATCGGTCTTCCGGGCACTAGCGCTGATAATCTCTCTATCGAAGAAGCAGACCGTATCATATTTGTCCATGATCTCTTGCACGGCCTGAGCTCTAAATAGACTGGGCTTTTGCCCATCGTGACACAGAACATTATGCATCAGTAAGGCCTCCTCATTGCGATACTCCTGGGAGTCGAAGACGGCCACTGTTCTGCATGCCCGTCCCAGGGCCATGGTAGCCGCTAGCCCGGCAGGACCCCCGCCGATGACGAGGACATCGAATTGTGAGTCGCAGCACTGCATGTTGGAGATTATTCAGGGGCTTAATAATATATATGGTTAAAAGCAATACATGTGGCAAAAGGGCTGCTTGAAAACGTGGCTAGTTGAGGCACAACACATGGCTTACGTTTTATATGGTCGTCTGCTGTAGCATATTAGATAGATCGACCTTAATCGGACCCGGACACATAGGGTTACTTAGGATCCGGGAAGGTGGTCCCTTGCTGATAGGACACTTTCGTAACGCCTTGAAACATCAGATCACGCCTCGGACATTTTGAAGCCAGTATCAGGAAGCCGATCGACCCTCGGTGTCCCTACGGGAGCTGTACCCACATACCATGCCCCAAACATTACTGTCATCACTTATCATACCCGTATTTATTTGATGGGCCATATCGCATGGAAGAGTTCATAACGACCGAGATCTTTCTTAAAATTGGAATAACTCACTATCAAAAGACCCTATTACCCGTGCCGACCAGCACCCCGTGACCAGCAAACTAACTATATATCAAGAAGATCAACAAGCTTTCTGGCATCATCAATCAGCTTCAGGCAGGTTGGGATGCGATCCGGAAAGCGGCACGTCGAGCGATAGCCAGGAGGACAATCTGGCGCGGGAGGTGTTTCATGCCACCGTCTCTGCCTCTCATCCAATTGTTCAATCAAAGCAAGAAAGCATTTATCTCGTCGACCTTCTATACCAAGAACCTCTGCCTTCACAAGTCTTCGCATCAAGACCTTCCATTCAACCGGACTCATTTCCGCAGAGAAAGGATAAGAACTCCCCGGATCACTCTGTCCGGACAGAAGACCACCAGCTATCATAAAAATGTTAACAAGTTTTTGTTCGCCAGTTCTGGATGCCCGAGCTTCCTCCCTATCAATCGCCTCCAAAACCCTGGCGTAGGATTCCGCAATACACAGACAGACCACACCTAAGATTACCGCATTCTGAATGATAGAGAAATAGCGCTGCGGACACTTTTCACAGTAGATGACGGCAGTCAGCTTCTCCAAGGAATCGCGGATAAGAATTAAATCGTCGGGTGCTATTAGTTGCGACTTCATGCGCAATCGCTCTAAAAGCAGATACAGAACGGACAAACAAGCACAGTGATTGAATTCCGCATTACAAATTCCCAAGAAGGGGGCGATATTTTGTGTTGTTCCGGAGGAAAACGGCAAGCTCTGCGCACTACTACTAAGAAGACAAATCAATGCGATGAGCCAGTGCAATTTGCAATCAAGGTCCGATTGATTTGGGTTAGCGAGCAACTACTACTTACGATTGACAAAATTCCGTTGCCGGTGGTACATTATTTCCAACTTGGCACCGACAAGCCTCTCCGAAATGCCTTGACAACGACTCGCAACGAGGTATAGTCACCGAGGTGGGTTGTGTGCTGCTTTCCACTTGAAGTTCCTTACTTGGGCTTCGAGATCGGCGTATAGCAGGGTGAAGCTGCGACCCCACCTGATCGCTCCGAGAAGTAGGAGGATTGCGCGTCTGCCGAGTACGAGGTCTTCCTATCCGCTGCTGCGACGAGTAAACGCACCGACGGTCGGCGGCGGCACAACGGGCGCAAACGGGGTGTTCCCCTGTGCACCGGATCTTTTTTGCCCCTTAGGAGGAACATATTACGCGTTAATTAATCTTTGAGACGAGCACGGAGAAAATATAGGGGCTCCATACGACACGCATCACAAGACAGTCGAAACTTTTGCTGGCTGATTCTTTCGCTCATGGTGCGGCAAAAATGGGGTGGGCTTATCGTTGGCCAGAGAGCAAAAGGAGAAAATATGATATGTTCCGCAAACGCCTCTAGGGTGGCGGACAGGGCCAAAGGGTCTCCTTATTTAAGGCCGGGCTGATTACTCAAGATCAATATGATTGGTGAAAAGAGTCCGATTGAGCGGGCAAAAGTACTATTGAAGTGTGGTCGAAAACCTTTGGGTCCGGACACATATCGGGGAATCCACTCAGTCCCAGTCCGGCGCGGATTCGTGTTAACCTAAATCTGCGAGGCAGCCCTGCATGACGGCCCCATCGACTCACCAATATCCATTTGCATGCGGACTCGCAAATAGACCTTAAACTATTTCTTGATAAAATGGTCCAGGAGGCCATAACTTCGGACAAAAGTTTATATAGCTTACGTCTGTTACACTGCCAGGTGGAAACATCGATCTACTGTCGGAGCCTTTTCTCTAGTAATCAAGGGGAATTTCGTATGACCTAAACAGGACTTCGAAGCCAGTCGCATACGTAGGCTGAGATTATCAATTGATAAGATCATTCACTTTAATGAACAATAGATCGAAAATGAGAGAATTCTCTGGTAGTAAAGCTGACCAGCTGACACGGGGAGAACCCAAAGCAATGTGCGATATCGAGAGTATAGACCAATTAAACACACTGGAATGCCTCCAGTAGACCACTCCTCTCAGTACACAATACGGTAGGAATGACCCCATATCCCCTGTACAACACCGAGTGACGGATCAGGGGGCGTGGTGTACAACGCGAAAGGATATCTATCAGGATCGAAACCGTGCCTTCTTTGAGCGAGCACGGATGCGCGCTCCATAGTAGTAGAAGATGATCGGCACAGGAACCATAACCAAGGCCAAGAAGCCGACCAAGCTGCTGGCCCAGTCCACCCCCAGATTGTGGTACATATAATTTGCAAAGAGAGGAAAAACCGCCCCAAAAACGCTTCGCACCGCACCGTTCGCAGCCATTGCACTGTTGGCCATGTCGGTATAGCAGTCAATGATGTAGCTAAAACACTGGATGAAGATTGTATACATGCCCCATCCAACAAGGATGCCTGCACAAACCTCACTGGGCCATGGAATAGAAGGGTCAGACGTCCACGCATACCAGAAGAGTCCGGTGGGAACAAGACAGCCTCCGAATATCATAAGGGGGAGGCGAGCTTCCGGCTCAAATTTGCCGTCGTTAGCCTGAACCTTTCGCTTGAAGTATAGCTGGTTGTAGATTACCACAGTGGCGGTTCCCATGACCACACCAACAATTATTCCAATCAGAGCAAGGGATGCAAAACCTTGGCTCCATCCTCTCACTTCCATGAACGCGATCGGATATGATTGGTAACAGATATACATAAGACCATATATGAACGCTTGATAGAAGGTCAACGACACAAGTATAGGCTCGGTGAAGAAAAGAACTGCAGCAATCGACATTATCAGCATATGCAGCTGAGTCGGCATTCTGCGCGGACGACACCGACTTACCCCATGGACGAATTAGATAGAGCTGGAACACCTTCTCCAGTGAAAGCCCTTCGAGATCCAGCGGAGATACAATATTTGGATTATCCATTTTTCGGCGTATAGACCTGGCTCGAATCTGGAGTACCTTGGGCGGGTAACTCTCCGGATAAGTGAACACGGCCACAAACCCAAGAGCGAGACCAGCTATAACAACAACCCACATTGTCCATCGCCAACTTGTGTTTTCAACGATAAAGCCGCCGACAATAGGACCGAAAGTAGGACCAGCAAAAACCAAGCAGATGCAGAATGCAAGAGCCACTCCACGGTATACTGCATTCCAGCAGTCGGTGATGATCCCTCCCAAAACAGCAATCGGTGCGACACCGAAGAGGCCAGCGAAGAAACGGCCAATGAGGATGGTCGCCAGGTTCTGACCCAAGGCTGTCATTAGGCCAAAGACAGAGGATAAACAGACACCGACAATGAGCGGCCATTTTCGCCCGAATTTCTCTGAGAGTGGACCGAAAAGTAAGGGTCCGACAACATATCCCTGACCAAGATATTCTCAGCCATTGTCCAATAGCTAACCAAGATGTATAGCTTACCACTAAAAACAAAGAAGTCCCGAGCACAGTTACCTCCTGACCAACAGCAAACTCGGTGGCAACTTTGTCCTCTGCGCTGGCGAAAATGCTGCTTGATATGGTGACAACGAGATTGAAAAGTGCCAGTATTAATGTCGTCCATACCCGGCGAGCGATATGCCAATTGTGTGGATGAAGCTTGTCGTCCGCACCTGAGAATTGTAAGAGCACTTGCTGAACGACTTGCTCGTTCCCCATAGACGCTGCTTCTTGTTCCACATCACCTGTCCTGTGAACTGCATCAGAATGAACTTCTTTCATCCTTTCATAGATCATACTATGAGAGCGATTGTCTGGTCCAGTAAAGATGTTAAGGATAGGCTAGTACTGTAAAGGGTGGAAAGCCTTTTCTTCGCTTGATAAAGGGCAGAATAACGGGTAAGTTCGGCATCAGAATTGCACTCTGCCGAAGCGAATGTTTTCAATCTGTCAGTTTATGAAACCGAATGCCTCCACGGGTAGGCGTTTAAAAGTACGCAGTATTCCTAAAATGAAGGTCCAATAATGCAACCCGGCAAGGGGCCACTTCTCAGTCAGGGCAGTCGTGTGTTTCCATGTTATCCATTGCCCATCATGACGAAGTTTGGCCCCATTTTTGAGACGTACGAGAACGAGCCATAATAATTATTATAGAATGTCGGACGCTTCAAAAGTCTCCGGATTCACATAGTCTCCGATAGTATCCGGACTCTCCCGTCCCCAGTTATTCTTCCCAACCAAATTACCGATTTCTAGTGAATCGTAATTGCAGAGTGATCAGATCGACAAAATACTGCTGTTCCAAGTTTGGGTGATTGCTCACGCTCGACCATGATCTGTAATCTTATGAGGCCTAGGCCGCAGATAGCCTTCTGCTACTACCTAGCTTGTCTTATTGTCTCACCGTAACTACCTTTCACGGTTGAAACTCTGGCCGAATACTCGGGATCAAATAGTTTAGCATACAGTCACACAGTATTGGTGGATCTCTCCTATCACAATTTTATCGGCCCTAGTCCCTTAAAGCACTGTATTAGTCAATTTTACCAGGATCTCTTATCTTTGCACTTCGTCCTATTCCTCTCCTCTTCGTATAATAGTGCAGAACACCAGTACCGGCAAGGCTATTACTTCATCCACAGATGCCCAAGAAATTGCGGAACAAGTGACAGCATCATGACTTTTGAGGACTTCCAAGAATCTTTGATCGACTCCGCCCTTCAGACCATCCAAAAGCATGAAGGTATTCTGAAGGAATTGAACCACCAGGTGAGATTACTATCCTAGTATACCTTCCTTTCAACATAGGACTAAATACATTTTGCCTTCGATATAGATCTGGTCAAATCCAGAACTGGCTTACGAGGAGCACAATGCACATCAAAGTATCTGCGATCTGTTTGAGAAACTCAATCTTGAAGGTTATCACATAAGTCGGGGCGTCTATGGCCTCAAGACCGCAATGAGAATCGAATATAGACAAGGCCCGTGCCCTGGAAGACGAGTGGTTGCCTTCAATGCAGAATATGATGCCTTGCCGGAGATCGGTCATGCATGCGGCCATAATCTCATCACAACTAGCTCAGTGACTGCATTCATTGCGACATGCGAGACAATGAGATCGTTCTTTCCAGAAAAATCAAAATTTGCTGTTCGGCTGCTTGGTACCCCAGCTGAAGAGGCCGGTGGGGGCAAGGTGCAGATGTTACAACAGGGCGCATATAGTGATGTCGATGCATGCCTGATGGTCCATCCCATGCCAATTGCATCTGGTGATCCTCATCTATTGAGCGTGGCAACTGGGCTGGCGGGAGGTTTCCTGGCAATTGATGAGGTACGTGTAACCTTTATCGGTAAGCCTGCCCATGCGACAGCGGCTCCCTGGGAGGGTATAAATGCCCTTGATGCGGTCGTCGCTGCCTATCTCAATGTGTCCCTCCTTCGACAGCAGATGCTGCCCTCACAAAGAGTCCATGGGATCATTGTCAGTGGAGGAGACCGGGCTAACATCATCCCGATGTCCGCAACCATGGAATATTCCATGCGCTCTCCTACATCTGAAAGCCTGAATGTCCTCAAAAAGAAGCTCACAGACTGCTTGGAGGCTGCTGCGACAGCAACTGGCTGTGAACTAGAGCTGAAATGGTAGGTGCTCCATGCATACAATACTTGTCTCCACTTCAGTGTCTTATTACATCACGCATCAGGGGAGTTGGCTATGCGGACTTGAAGCCCAACCCGACCATTTGTAGAAGCTATGTCAGTGCTCTGAAAGCGATGGGTCATCATGCAGTTCTCGACGGTTCGAATATCGAGGGAGTCTTGAATGGCGGCTCCACCGACATGGGTATGTCAGCATCACTTCACGTTTGCTAAGCTCCTTTCCATACTAATTGCCCCCAGGGAATGTTTCTCATGCCGTGCCTGGCTTCCATGCTATGTTCGCTATTCCAACTGAGGGAGTGAATCATACACCTCAGTTCACTGCAGGTGCTGGGTCGGCAGAGGCATTTAAACGGAGCCTTGCATGTGCGGCAGGAATGGCTGTCACCGCTTGTCAAATTTTGGTCGACGATACTTTTGCCGCGCAGGTCAGGAGCGACTTCGACTCGGGTGTTTAGTCTGATATAGAGGTTAAAGAATCAGTGTGAAAGCTCATCCTATTAGAGTGTCAAGAGATGACACCCTACATCTCCCCGTAGTAAACCGATGTAGCCACTAGCGAATGGATTTAGATGATCCTTCAATCCACCACCCATTTGACACCCATTTGACTGGCCATCGTGTGGCAGAATTTGTGCAGTGTAATCATAGGTTGGTGTCTTTCACGCTTCGATCCATTTTCTTTTGATTCGCAAGCCAAGTTGTACGATCTAGAGGAATATGGGGCGTTTTAAAAATGCTTGATGTTTATTGATTATCTAAGGAAGTCAACGCGAGGCATCATATTCCAAAAGCTCGATTAGCCTCTAGAAGATTTTCTTTCCTTCAAAGAACCCATACCAAAATCAGTTTCGTATGACTTGGAACTGATAACTATTAGTGGGGATATACATCAGTTACTGACTCCAACTCGAGGGCAAACCGGTGAATATCCTGAGGACTCTTCCCTTCTACCATCCTGTTTCTGGCTTGATAGGATAGATATACTTTTTGTGTTGGATTGGGTCAGGTCGGGCCAAAAGTTTTTAACCTGGAGCGGGTAGACAAATCAGAACCTGCCCTACAGGTTAAATGAGTAAATCAGAGCTTAGTCCAAGTCTTAGTAAACTAGATCATAAGATTTTCATCTCTTTTATAAGATGAGTTAAAAAATTTTGATCCATAGAACAAGTTGGATTATAAATAAACTTAAGTTGGATTATAAATAAATTTAAATAAAAACTTTTTTTTTACTGTAATATAATGATATTTAATTATATAATAAAACTGTAATAGGATCTACTTGTCAGAGTAGAAAGCCTGTCGAGTGTCGACTAGGCAAGGAATCAACCATGAAACAATCTAGATTCGTGTGCAGGTGACAAAGGTAGCCTTTATCCACATAATAGACTGATCCTTACAGGATCAGTTAGTAAAGCAAGATAGCCATCGAAACGGTCCCCGAACGCTATCGATGACCTCACGACTCATAGAGTCCAACATTCGACATCTTGCAAGCACGAGTTGAAATTAGAGCGATTAATGATAAGGGTTTAATATCTCCTGATAACTTAACCTTGAATTTCGCGATTAGTGTATATAGATCTTTCCTTCTTCCAGACCACGGGAAAATCTTTGCACAAGTTTATTTTGGACCTCTAGAGAGAATTGAAATATAACTGATCCTATTCTTTACTAACAGTAGAGCTGCACAGTCATTCCAAGGACTATGTAATTGTTCCTTGCGAAATATCCCCACCACTCTCAAAGGTTTCCTCCTTGAGTTGCCTGCCGGAGAAGACCGCAAGTCGCGGAGTTACAAATTGCATTGATGTATCCACCTAGGCAAACGTGCGTATGACAGCTGGCTGTTTCGTATATTTGTTGGCGACTGACGGATGGTCCGGCTGATCCTGACGAACAGTTCATCAAGGCGCAAAGGGCACCAGGGCCTGGACCCTGAACTAGTTTCAGATTCCTGTCACTTTAACCTAGTGCGGGATAGGCTCCGTTGCCTTCTTGGCTTATCGGCATGCAGGATAATGGTTTGATTGGTGGGTAAATGGAACCGACCAAGCGCTTTGCAAAGAGGATAAAATAGCCGGCACCTGCGAATGGTGGTAAAGAGCAAGAACAAGCTAGGTGTATGTGGCTTGCACAGTAGTGAGCTGAACATCATGAGCCTACGTTGCATTTTCTCTGCCACTTGGACTCAGACTTGCATGGATGTCCGCTAAATTTCCGGTAGGGGTTGCACCCATTGCTTCGAGTTGCATTCGAGCTGCGGTTTGTCCGATGCAGTTCAGCTGCAGCCACAACTCGACTTCCAGGCCCTTTTGTATCGGCAGCAAACATGCATATTCGTATGCTATTAAAACTAAGGTCTTCCAATTCCCAGACAGAGGCGCCCAGATTACAACTAGTCCATTGACATGAAGGATCTTTCTCTCGCCTCGCAAAACACATACATGGTAAGTCTCTACAGCTCCCGAGTGCATGGAACGCAGGAGTCTGAGAACTGCAGCACGATGCCCTACACTCTCCCGGTGGCGATTATCAACGATACTGAGGATGTCCTCACAGTAATTGAGAAGACATGCTGGTATTACGCCAACGGCGGCGCCTGGACCGACGATGCCGGCCACAAGCTCACCCTCACCCTCGGCGGAAGCGGCACATCTGGTATGCTGCGAATTAGGGCCTCGTCGGGTCACACATTCAGTGTTGTCGTGGGGTACCATAATTACGAGTTCTGGTGCGATGCACAAATTGATCTTAACGATGACGATACAGCAATTAAGCTGCACCCGGAGTACTATAACGGTGGGAGACTATCGTCCCAGGCAAATCCCTCTATTGAGCGGAAGAGTTCAGCGGGGCGAACGGTGAAGGTGCACTTGCAGAGTCTACCGTGTGGAATTCCGCCTGTTATTATTAATTACTCGCAAATGGGCGTCCATTGAGAGGTGTGGTTATATTGAGGGGTTTGGACGGAGTAGATTTGAATATGAATACTTGGGCATCGGTATTAGGCCCATAAGAATGGCCAAAGCTATCCTACACTACTCCTAGGCCTACATAACACAGGTCATCTCTTCATGATAGGAATTTCCTGGCTTTTGACCGTTAGCTTCCCAGGAACCATAGCCTGATTTCAGGGTTTTAAGGATATGTTAATCTGTAAGAATCGTAGCCCTCAGGTTGGGATCATTCACAGGTTGAACCAATATCAAACAGCTAACTGTGATAGGAAAAAAAAAAGGGTAGAGCCTAAGGCATGACAGGCTCCTTGCGTCCCACTCTCATGCATATTCCCAGACTTTCCGCCAAAGAGGACACTGCATGACTGCATTCAACCATATCTGTCATGCCCTCGACCCCTCCCTTGTCTGCAGAGCCAAGCAGGCCTGTTACCACTGGCCTCATTTCCTTCAGCTGCCTTGTCTCACGTGGATCGTTCCGCCAAAGTTGTACATTTTAGCCGATTGTTTATTTCCCCGCGGACCGTCGGTGCATAAATACACCCCTAGCTCGGCTCTCTTGTCTTAGCTATATCTTTAATCCCCAACTAGGTTCTTCCCTTCTACCCGGATCACTTTCTCTGCTACAAGTTCTACTGTCTACCGCCAACCAGCATAATGAAAGCTGTCATCTACAAAGCCCCGAACCAAATTTCCATCGAGGAGCGGCCCAAACCAACCCTCCTACACCCCACCGACGCCGTAATCCGCATCCTGCACACAACAATCTGCGGCACAGACCTGCACATCCTGGCCGGCGACGTCGCGACCGCAAAGCCAGGCCGAATCCTCGGCCACGAAGGTGTTGGAATTATCGACTCCCTCGGTGTTGCCGTGCGCAATTTCTCTGTCGGCCAGAAAGTCCTCATATCCTGCATCACCTCATGCGGGACGTGCCACTATTGCCGGCAGCGACGGATGCCGTCACAATGCGCCGACGGCGGCTGGATACTGGGGAACACGATTGACGGCACGCAGGCGGAATTTGTGCGAGTTCCGCACGCGGCGTTCTCACTGCATGCGCTCCCTGCAGCGATTGATGAGAGCGTGGCGGTGACGCTGTCCGACACAGTGCCGACGGCGTATGAGTGTGGGATTTTGAACGGGGAGATCACACCGGGGTCTAGCGTTGCCATTATCGGGACCGGGCCGATCGGGCTGATGTGTTTGCAGATGAGCAGGAGGATGTTTGGGCCGAGTGTTGCGGTTGTTATTGGGCGCGGGATGAAGAGGATTGAGATGGCAAGAGCCATGGGTGCGGACCATGCGTTTAGTGTTCTAGATGCGGGCGGCGTGCAAAAGGTAGTTGAGGACGCTGTGGCAGTCTCTGTGGGTGTCAGGGGATTCGATGTTGTTATTGAGGCTGTGGGAAATGCTGAGTCGTTTGAGATGGCGCAGGGGCTTGTTGGCCCCGGTGGCACGATTGCCTCGCTCGGGGTCTTTGGGTGTTCGTGCGAGCTGCGCCTGGAGAAGCTGTGGCATCGCAATATCTGTAAGTCCTCCTCGCGTTATTTCGCTCACCACTGCCTTTACTGATGTTCGCTAGGCTTACGGACACGACTCATTGACGCTGTGTCAACACTCGATCTGCTGCAGATGGTGGAGGGAGGGCACATCGACCCGAGTTTCCTGGTCACACATCGTACGCTTCCCGCTCTTTACACTTTTCCACGTATGTATATCGGCGTGCGCTAAATACTTATTCCCTTCAGGATTCGCCTTTGATGATATTGAGAACGCGTACGAGGCGTTTGAGAAATCGTCTAAACACGGCAGCTTAAAGGTCGTCGTCTCCATGCCGAGCACGGAGTTTGCGTCTGGCGTGATTAATGGCCCGTCTGCAAATGGTTCCTTGCAGGTCTTGCGCCTGTAGGTGTCGAGTTATAACATCTCATGACAAGAAATTGTATGTCGTTATGCTATATGCTGACAGGCTTGTTGGTTGCCTGGACTAGCTGAAACCAATTCGTAGAACGGTGAAGCCGTTCGGTGGCTCAGTGACTACAAATTGATCTCCCTAACAATAAAGATAGTCCATACATCACAAGCCTAGCGCCAAACTTAAAAGTACCCGTCAACTTCCTACTTTGCGATACAGAAGCTGTCAGTGCCGTTTTCACCTCATCTAACTTTCTTCTTCCATCCCGTCCGATCGAAACTATAGTATACTCCCGGCAGGGATCTTCATTAGGTAAGTTAATCTCGATAATACCCTGACGTTCCAAAACTAGGTCGCAAGCGGAAGGATCAATGCTCAACATCATGGCAATGACAACCACTGCATCGCTTTCGACTTCTTCAGGGATTCGTGTGGTGGGATCCCGCATGAGCCAGTCGATCAATTGTTTAGGCAAAAGATCCCAGAAACAATGTTCCTGGGCCTCCTGTCTTTGGGTACATAAATAGTAAGGCCAGATAGTTCATCACTGACGTGTAATTTGGCAATTGATTCTTCAACATCCACCACAACACCATCTTGAGAGATTCTCAGAATAGAGTAATCTCCGTCAGTGGCTTCGATTCTAGCTGTGCGAAGTGACTCGTAAAGCCCCTACGGATCGGCATGATATCTTGGGCTATTAAATGTGGCCGCGACCCTAACATAGGCAAAAGATGTGAGCGATGTACAGGCTAAGAGATTCATGACCCTCACCGGATAATGGCATGCGCCTTTCTTTTCAAGTCTCGGTGTGGCGTTGAGATGAGTTATGTTGTCTCACCAGAGAATGAAGTTAACTCCTTGATGGACGCAGATAAGTAGCGATTTGCTAGGTCGGTCCACTCGAAAAAGTCTTTCAGGCGACGCACTTCTTCCAGACTGACGTCAAGCATTTTAGTCCTACCTCTGGATTGCGATGCCAGATGTTCCCGGTCAGGGATCGCGAACTCCGTCTCGGCAGATGAGAGCCCCTCTGTTCCATCTGGGTAGATAATGGGAAATACTGGTCTTTCCAAAAGTGGAGCCGGATCGGCACAATGCCTCTCTGTCGGAAGAAGAGCATTGAAAAACCATACCTTGCTTTTTGTCTCGCCGATTGTTGATCTCCGGCTTGTTTCCAACAGCTCATCATCTACCATCTGAAGGGTAAGTGTTTTAACCCCTAGGATATCAATGAAAATGTCTTTCGGGTCCTCATAGTTGTCATTTAGGGTGACCTTCCCACGAATACCTGTAGTACTTGACCATAAACATTCGGAGATTCTGTACCAGCCGGGCTCGTCGTTTGTCATACCGAAAATCAGGCTTTTATCCTCGTATTCGCGTCTATTCATGGAAGATTAGAATTTCTGGTGCAGCCTCCCTCATCTAAGAACGAAGTTGACACTTGCCGCAAATCATCAGCGAAGTGGAAAATCTCCTGTTCAGAGAGACACCGGTAGATGGCGTAAATCTCGTCAAAGTCGACGCAGTCATTCTGACTCCGCTCTCCTAGTTCTACTATTAGGTCTGACCATGAAGCATTGGGAATGCCCAGCGTGTTTCCGAAGAAACGTGAAAGGTGTCCCAGTTGATTTTCCTCGAGGATCTGTTTAAAGACATGTTGAGAATATTTTGAAATCATATTTGGTGGTGCCTCCCACAGACAGTGATCAAGACCGGCCCATGCTGCATCACACGGCTCACCCTCTTGACGCTTGGGCGCGAAAATGTAATTACCGTCTTTCAAAAAAAAGACCTCGGGTGGAATATGAGCAACTAGTCTGGGAATTCGGGAACATTGAACTTACTTGATGCGGTCCATGGCGGCCACTCTGCTCTCGGAAGCAAGATACCTCGCGTCAATTGCAATATATAAGTTCCACAGTCGCTCATACGAGGGAACGGAGGATCCATCAGGATTAGCGCTCTGATTCCAGACTAGCATACTGAGGAGGAAATCCACGTCGTCATCCTTCCCGACCGGGAAGTCGTTGTGAAGAAAGGTCCACTTGGAGTATATTTTTCTCATCTGTAAGTCCTTCTTCAAGGTAAAGGAAGGGAAAGGGTTCATCTTCCTCCATAAAGCGTAAGCAAAGGTTCTGGAGGTTGGATAGAGGCAGATATGTCTCGTCAAGCCGGCAGTTATCAGGCAGGTCCATATTGCAAAGTTTTGTTGCATCCGTGCTTCGAATCTCCATGATGATGTCAGCAGCGTGGCGCAGTTCAGACCTTTGATATCTTCTGAGATACTCCAACAGTCTAAGAAGTTTCCCAGGACGGGACCCCGCGACATACGTCCAGCTGTTTGAAAGAGATTTGCCATCTAACGCAACGAGACTCAGTCGACCGCGAATCCCAAAAGACGTGCTTAGCCATTCGCGCCACGACAACTGGGCTGAGTGAGGTCTTGCTAGAATGTTCTCAAGATATGTTGAGTGCATGAGCAATATGTTCATGCCCTGGGAGTTCCCCGTTCGGCCCAGAAGACCCTCTGGTCCATATGGATTAATACTTGGCAGATACATCTCTTTCTCCTGTGGATTGACCGTATGGCCATTATCACAGTGGACACGATTGGCACAATAGCCGTCTTCAGAATGATGTAGCTTGTGAGTCAGATATAGGTAACGAAGATGAGATTTCGATTCACCACACATCTCTCTATACGGGAGACTGTAATTCGCCAGTATTGCGGATCGGACTGCATTGACCGACGGCTCCACAGTGCCCAAGTGCACGAACAAAGCTTTGCGGCCTTCACTGGCCAACACCGCTAGATCCAAAACGCGAATATCCACGTCAGCAGGTATGTCGATTTCTCTAGTCTTTGGTAAGTATATGGTTCCACTGTTAGCGGATACCCATTCAGCATTTCGTAAAGGTAAAATGGCAAGCCCTTTCAAGGTACTCATTTCGGCGTCCTCGTCTTCAATCTCCAACAGAAGTTGCGAAATGCGGCAGTGGAACTCCGCACTGGTAAAATGCGACTTGACTATTGACGTCGATCTTGCAAGATCATTTTCCAGAATATTGAGGACGAGGTCAAAAGACAGAATCATGAGTCCGTATTCTTCAAGAATTTCTTCTAGCGCGGCCGGGTAGGCGGCGAATAGGAACGGATCCAAGCTTGAGTCGTCCAGCAATGGATTGCCATCGCTATTCTTAAAGTCGTCAGGCAGAAAGGCAACGCTATCTATCACACGAAGGCTGTTGCCGTGTCTCGACCTCCAAACCGGCGTAACGGCAATCAAATCCCGGACTGACTGAGCCAGTAGAGATTATAAGCTACCGACGTCATTCTCTTGCAAGGCAGGAAACTTGACCATATGTAGCACAACCCTGGGTCTTCGTAAAATTGTAACACTGCATCCACGAATACTAAGGTAATATGTGGTAAGAGGCAAAGGTTCCTTCTCGAAGTTGTCGAGACATTTTGTCTGTTTGTGCTGGTGTTAATGTCGGAATGTATCAGGGACTTTTCTTTTAATTTAGTAGATGTCTGTATCAGGACGTTTCTATTGCACTGAACGGAAAATGGGTCTCACTTTAAAGCTCGACTCGCAAAGTGGTAAAAACGCAAATATTCCTCGTTTCTTAATCAAAGGTCTGGAATTTATTGTGAGAGGGAATGCCAAAATAATCTCCGCCTCTGAGAATATTGCTTCGGTATCCTGCGTACCCAGGATGTTACGGTCGTCGCTCGTCGGAAGGCCGGTGGCAGTGTACCTTGTCACATGATAGCGATGCTCAACGGCGGTAGACTCACTCCCCTCTATGACAGTGGTCTGAGTGACAGAGCTGCGGTATTGGTCACCCAACTTTCGAAGTGCCAAACAAAGGGTTGATTGGTATTTCTAACCATCAGCTGCTGCCTGCCAATTCCGATCGAACGAGAACCATTCCAAATAACAGCAGTCGATGCATCTTGAAATGTTGTTGACCAGGAGCATGCCATGTGATGTCCAGGGGCAATACAGACCCGTATAGATACTTAGTATCTGCGTAGTATCAAATAGTAAAAAGCCAATTTCATTGCCCATGACAGACATTGGTCGCCAACCCAGCGAAGATCGGCCAGTCAAGGAACTACACTAATCCAAATTCGGATGTGCTTGCATACCGTGGCCTTGACCCCGCACAGCGCACGACTTCGACTGAGCTCTAGGCCAAACGTATAAATCGAACATTTTAGCTTCCAATACCCGGATGCTACCAGAGACTGCGGGAAGGTTCTCTTGACATATTGGTTTGGGTGTATCAGTGTGCGCAATCATGGTGGAATAGCAAGTTAAGGACTGTTTTACATGCGAAAATGCTCACAGATATTGCTCAGCCCCGTGACGGGTTACCGGCGGGTTTTTATTAAGTGGGTATTTACTGCCATGCTCCCCGAAACCCACGCCGGGTGAAAGGCAAAGTTTTGTTAGTGCGTAGGACCCTATTTTTTTGCATCCTCCCGTGGCTCAGATAACACGGTGAAACTGTACGGAGAGGGGGATCACGCACCAGACACGATGTTCGAATTCTGCATAGAGAACATTAGAAAATCTCGGCTCAGCCCCTACAGTGCTCGAGCGCTGCCTGTATCGACGCTTTCTGCCTAACAAGTCCGCCGTTGCTAGTGAGTTAACTAGCAGGGGTCTGTAACACAACTACACCCTAATGCCACCGCATATGCGGTGCACCACCCCCAGTGGGTTAGGATTGTATAAAATAGAATAAAATGTTATTTTAGAACTCAGAAATATAGGAACTAAATAGTTTCTTTATTATATATTTGAATCTTTATTTTATCTGATAACTACAGTACAAAGATACTGTATTCTAAAAACCAATTTTGCTATATCTATTGCCAATAAATCTAATCTGGATAAATTATTCATATTCTAATGCCGCCGCATATGCAGTGCACCATCCCCAGTGGATTAGGGTGGTACTTTGCGAGGCTTGAGAGTCACGTCAGCTTAACCGAGATGACCGGAATCGTGTTCCCAACAACAGATGCAGAGAAAAAGCCGAAGCATATAAATTGGTAATATCCATTGTACTAACTTGCAGAGGCACGACCGCTTTTCGCATATCCATTACCCCGTCATTCTTTCTCCATGCCCTACAACTCCGATACACGCGCGCCCATGACGCCTGAGTCTGGCAGTGACAGTTTCCCAACCGGCGGGCTCTAGAGAGCTATACTCTACCGTTTTCATTATCATCTAACTCGTCGAGGCCGCCTCTCCATTGACACCGATGCAATAATACACATTTGCCTGAAACTCGGTGCCGCAATCCGCGCCATCGGTCCCAAGCACCGGGTTCCACGCATATAGCTCCGCAGCTGTGATACCGTGCTCCGTCGCGAACACGCTGCAGTACTCCCCAATCACAGCCGCGGCATAGAGGTCGCAATTCCCGGGAATGGCGTTGTTTTCCAGGATGGGAGACGGGACCGCGACCCCCACGCAGTACCAAACGTTGGCCTGAAGGGCAGTGCTGCAGCTTGCGCCATTGACACCTAGCACGGAATTCCAGTTGTACAGTTCGTCCGGGGTGATGTTGTTGTTGGTCGCGAAAAGGGTACAGGTATCGCCGCTGAGGGCCTCGGCGTAACGGTTGCAGTTGCGGGAGATACTTTCGGCTTGGGTTGGCGATGGTACTGCCGTGGAGGAAGACGAAGAAGAAGAGGTGGTGGTGACCGTGGTAGCCGTGGGGCTGGTGCTTACTGGGCTCCCGGTGGCCGACAAGACCGGCGTGGTCATGCGTGTGATTGAGGCTGAAGGTTCACTTGTCGGAGTGGAAGAGTACTTCGCCAAGGTGTATGTCTCTGTTATGATATTATCCGTGGAGGTGGGGCCGTCTGCAATTACACAATATCTATAGCTGGAGTCAAATGTGCAATTATTCGCCGTGGTGTTCAAGATGGAAGGATTCCAGACGGGCAGGTCCGTGGTGAGGTTGAATGCCCAGAAAACCGAGGCGGCGAGACAGTCGCTCACTCCAGTCATGTTGTACTTGAGATCAGACCCGTCGGCGTATATATAGCATCCCGTTCGTGTTGATGGGGCCAGGGGCAAGCTAGTTAGGGAGAAAATGGGCGTATACGTTGCATCGGGAAGTGCAGAATACGCGATGGTCGAGTAGGTGGCCACAAAGCTACCCGTATATCCGGGGGCATTAGGGTAGCTATCGACTAGGGTGAAAGATAGTGTGTGCGTGGTCAATGATTTGCAAACTTCATGGATCAATAGCGTCAAGGGCCATAACTTACTGCTGCCTACTGGAGCAACGCAGTAACTCTCTTCCGCATCCAGATTGGTACAACTGTTCCGCTCGAATCAGTGCTCTGATGGGAGCCTATGACATTGAGTGAAAAAGCTCGAGAGACTTACTTCACATTTATTCCTGGATTGAGTACCCTGAAATCTGCGAGAGAAATACCGAAGGCCAATGTGATTACATCGCAATCATCTCCAGCTGCAACCACATAATATTCACCGCAATTCTGAGTGGTATTGGAAGCAATGTCGGTAGGCACGGCGGCAGCCGTGGAAAAGACTGTAGCCGCGCCAACTGTTGTAGTTGGGATGGTATATTTTTGTCCTGGCTCGTTCACGCATATTTGGTACCCAATAGTCCGGTTGAAGTTATAGCAGCCGCTGTCAATGTTAGGATTATACGCTTGCAGCTGGACCACGGTTAGATTATATGCAGCAGCAACACTGTCACAAGTATCTCCTGACTGTACAGTATATACTTCACATGTATTGATCAGACAAAGGGTGCCGTCAGCTGGGAAGTCAGCACAATAAGCAGGAAGATCATTATCTATTAGCAACCAAGTGGTGCCGATTCCTTCGGAAAGACTGATAGATGTGCACGTGTCCCCAGGCTGGATGGGATAAGACAGCCCGCTACAACCGGCTATGGTTGCTGTTGCGGAAGGAGAGGTGGCGGTATATGATGACCTAGAGCATGGACGGAGGGTTTAGCCCCTGGCTATCCGATCAAAGGTGGATGTGAGTTGCAGGAAATCTCAACTTACAGTGAAGTGGTGGTAGTCGGCGGTAGGGTGTAACCTGTATACGAACACTGCGAGGTGTAACTTTGGAACAGACTGCTAGAACGGACCAGTGGCCCATCCCCATACTCGAATAGCGCCTCTTTGTACAAAGATAGTAAATAGCAGTCGTCACAGATGACCGTTCCGGTGGAGTTTTCAGTCAGTGATGCGGTGAGATTCCCCAGGACTATATTGCAGTATTCGCCGCCGCTCGTCAGGCAGGTTTGGTTGAAGTTGTATGATAAAGAGCTTGGAATGGAGGATAAAGGTAGAGTTGTCCCAGCGTCGTCTACATACGTCACCCCACCACAAGCACTGTCAACAGCCTGTGTCCACTGCACCAGTGCAATGCTGCATTCGGCAGTGCAGAATGACTTCAATGTCGTTTCGCTGTATGTCTCGCTTGGAGAAAAGGCCGCAACAACAGCGCCACAGGCAGTGACGTTTAATGACAGCGCTGCACCGCATGACTGAGTGTAATTGACGACGCTTGATGCGGGGAACAGAACAAAGGATGTTCCCCCTTGGAGAATACCGAGGATAGTCAAAGAGTATTTGAGAAAATTTTTCTCTAGGCTTATGGCCGCCATGTGGGCAGTGTTGGAGTGCAGCGTTTGAATGCGGACAGGTGACCGAGGGAAAATCCAGAGAGAGACACAGAGAATGAGAAAGAGCGAACGAGGAGAGTTAGGCAATTCGGTCAGCCGACGGCTCAAAGGACTAAATTCAAAAGCACATCCGACTTGTACATGCAGGTTATATTAGCCTGAGACACATATTTGCGACTAGTTTAAGGGGAAAATCTCTTAGGTGATCCCATAGGGCGACTACTGAAGTTACTAGGGCAGGGTCAACCGCGGGCTTGACTTGTTAGTGTCATGCTAGTGCGCTTGACCAGGGTCCAGAACTGAACACGGATCCGGAGCTTCCACTGAAATTTTCAACATCAAAAAAAAAGACGATATCAAATTTCCACACAGTTTCATGTTTACCAAGAAAACTTCAAATTCAAGAAAGCCAATAAATAATATATATACGAACAATCTATCATTCAGGACATTACTGCCTTAAAACGCGTGTTGTTCCGGATTCGCGCTCTGTTCCGGACCGCGGTGAACCAATCAAGACCTAGCGCCACCTTCAAACTTCAAACTTCATTTCGGTTATACAAACTAGACCTTGAAGGGCTTAATGGGGATGTACTACTGCATGGGGATAAGGGACAAATGTTGGGATCGTGATTCCCCTCCGGCTATCCCGGAGGAATAAAAGATCCTCCCTCATCACTTCTCTTCGAGGGGGGAATTGAGCCCTGTCTTATTGTCATCATCTTCAGCGTTTCCCTGCCTTTTGCTGAGCATATGGTGGCAATGATGGCACATCTCCGGATATGCTGCCTAGTTTTGAGCACCTTGTCGTTTCTGATTCCAATCATCGTTGCCTATGCCTCCTCTGGAGGTTCTCACCACCATCACCACTCACACTCCCACTCATTGAGTGCTCACACTTTATACCGGCGAGATGATACATACAGTTGCAATGAGACCTCCCCCTGTAGCAACGGGGCTTGCTGTGGGAAGTCGGGCTTCTGTGGTTACGGTGAGACTTACTGCGGAACGACTGGAAAATCTCCGAACGACATGTGCTGGAGTAACTGTGATGCCCACGCGGAGTGTGGAAAGGACTCACTCTCAGGCAATGCTACCTGTCCGCTGAACGTATGCTGCAGCCAATATGGCTTCTGTGGCACAACGGATGACTTCTGCGGAACCGGCTGCCAGAATGGATGCAACCAACCGGGCTCGGGGGCGACCAACAGCAGCTCACAAAAGCGAATTGTGGGCTACTACGAATCGTGGGCCAGTGGTAAACAATGCATGGGAATGAACATCCAGCAGATCCCAGTTGAGAGCCTGACTCACTTGAATTGTATGTCGTCCGCCTCTAATGTCCCCCGGATATCAGTGTCGAGTGGAATTCAAGTCATCCAATCAGATCAATCAGAATAACCGTTCCTCCACTACCTATTACAGATGCATTCGGTTATATTTCTCCCGGCACCTATGAGATTGGCCCTATGCCAGACGTAGATGCCTCGACATTCACCAAATTCACTTCCCTGAAGTCAAAGAATAGTAACTTGGTCGTCGGAATCTCATTAGGCGGCTGGACCTTCAACGACAATAAGACGTCCACACAATCTGTTTTTGGCGATCTTGTATCTAAGGCCTCGAACAGAAAGACATTCATCAACAATCTTCTTTCCTTTATGCGTCATTATGGCTTCGATGCCGTGGATATCGACTGGGAGTATCCCGGCGCCCCTGACCGACAGCCGAACCAGGCCAACTCGGATCAAGACGGCGCCAACTACGTTCTTCTAATGCAGGAGATCCGGGCTGCCTTTGACAGTCAACCGGAGACCTTTGTCCTGTCCTTTACCGCCCCAACTTCCTACTGGTGAGTTTCTATCCTGGGCTTGGACTGGCTTACTGGCCGTTTGTCGAGCGATCATGGCCCAAAAGGGACAAGAAATGAAATAAAGTCTGACGTCCAAGGGATTTGAAAGGTATCTTCGTTGGTTCGACATTGGTGAAATGGCAAAAGCTGCGGACTTCGTGAATTTCATGACGTACGACTTGCATGGCGTGTGGGATGCCGATAACCCGATCGGCGACCATGTTCTTGCCCATACAAATCTCACAGAGATTGAGGCTGCATTGGAACTCCTATGGCGAAACAATGTCTCGCCTGAGAAGGTGAACATGGGTCTAGCATTTTACTCACGGACGTTTGAACTTTCAGATAAGTCATGTACAAAACCTGGATGCCCATTCAAAGGAGGCGCTATTGAAGGTGCGTGCACAAAAAACTCGGGTACACTATCGTACAGTGAGATGACCGATGTATTGGCATCCTACAACATCACTCCGACGTATGATAAGGTAGCCGGAGTAAAGTACTTCACTTGGAACGAGAACCAGTGGGGTTCCTATGATGATCAAGAGACATTCCAGCAGAAGATTGAATTCGCGAATTCTCAAGGTCTGGGGGGCCTTCTAATATGGTCTGTGGATCAGGATGATCGTAATCTCGATGCTTTACGGGGAGTTCTCTACCCAAGTGATATCAAGGTTGAAAATGACATCGGCGATGACGTGAGTTACTGGGGGAATCAGAATCCAGGGACTTGTGAAACGACGGAATGTGGCGGGATCTGTTCGCCCGGCACCATCGAGATTACCACTGTCTCATGCCCCTCAGGGGGGAAGAAGCCTCAGAAACTCTGCTGTCCTCTTTCATCCGCCCCGGACCCCAGTAGCTGTACTTGGCGGGGCGGACCTGGTCTCTGTAACGGGCAGTGCCATGGAGGGGAAGTCGCTCTGGCTTCAAGTAAGAACGGTGGGAACGGCCACTGCATTGACGGTAAGTCATAGTGGCGAAGGGGGCCGATCTGTGCAAAACTAAGCTGACTGACTACGCGGATGCGTATATCAGGTCGCCAATATTATTGCTGTGCTATACCCGAGGTGGCGGATGGAGTCGGGATCAATTGTGGCTGGCAAGACCAATGCAGGTCAGACCAAACCCTGCTCACTTTTGCTGGTACATTTTTGGAAGACATCGCGCCCCTTACCTCATTGGCAGGCCTGTACGGCCAAGCTCTCGAAGATGCTCTCGCCCTGTTGGATCTCGACAACGAGAAGAAATACTGCTGCGGTAAGGAGGAGGCAACCAACTGGAAAGACTGTTACTGGGCTGTAAGTTGTCCGATGCTGCTTATCCCCTTGGTCTGATTGGAATGGGAGGAGTCAAGTCTTACTTTTCGCGTCACAGGGAACGACAGGCAAGGGACTATACAGCTGCGATGACAATCATTGCAACACCGGTATCGATGTGGAATTGACAACCAGCTATTTTGGTGAGGGAGAGACCTGCGCACCAATGTAAGTGTACAGTCTGCTCAACCCAGGAATCTAGATGTTAACTCAAGGAAGGGATGGACGACAGCGGGCGTTTTGCTGCACGCCGCAAAGTGGTGAGAGTCTGTTCTTGCCTGTTCCCCTTGAATACCTATTCCCAGATCCTCCACCAGCCAACGTCGCAGACCCATCGTTTAATCTTGAAGTTGATGACACGTGGGGAACTGGCAAAGCAAAAGGAGAGGATGATCCCAACGTAAGTAGAAGCACAGATTTCTATCTCCCACACACCACGGTAATTCATATCACTAACTCTGCTTTACGCAAACTACTGCAGGACGCTGCGTTCGGATTTGTTGTGGTTACCGCACCGAACGAAGTATCGGTAAACTTGGATAAAAGAGATGGTGCCCCATGGGAAGTATTTGATTGTCCAGTCTCCGAGAGTGAGGATGAACATACAGTTCGTGTGGTTTGCACCGACTCAGGCCCCGGGAGTAGATGTGATGATATTCATCTAGGCGATGGAGTACCGGGCACAATCTTACAAATGCCAGCCGGGTGTGGACCAGGAAAGTATGCAGTGGCGAAGTCCATGGAATTAGCTCACAATCAGGAGTTGCCGAATCACTTACAGAAGCGATCCGATCTCAAAAATACTCGGGTGTACAGTCTGAACTTTGACTATGATTTCCGTCGTGTGCCCCGGTCTTATGGCGATAGTCAGATGCGGATTGATTTCAGCAATGAGGAAGGATACTGGGATGCAGTGGTAGACAGGCCAGGGCAGACGAGGAAAAGAAAACGCGAGCTCAAACAGCTCAGGAAGAATCGGAAGCGCTGGCTGGAAGAGGAATGGCGAGACGCATACCACAATGGAGGTGTAGCTCGAGAAGACCTGCATCGAAGATGGTTCGGATCTGATGTCATCACATGGCTAGCCAATTTGGTTGGCGTTGGACAAGCCGAGGCGACGGTGGAGTTAAATCATCACGTTGATGAGACTGTCCAGATTATCTTGGTTGATGAGCAATACGGGCCTTGTCCTGTGGGTCCGGCTTCAGTGCGTTCAGTCTCCTTCTTCTTTTGTTTAGTGATGTTATAGGGTGCTAACCTTTGCCGTTTGAAGGTACAAGCCAGTATTCGTGCAACTCTTGAAGCCAATGTGCAAGTCCATACATCCTTCGGTATCACAATCATAGTGACCCTGGGATCCCCTCTGGATCTCAGCAACTCATATCTCTATTTCAAGAACAAGGGCAAAGTTACGGCGCAGTTTGCAGTGGATGCTGTGGCTTCCGTGAATTGGAATTCCGGGGACATCAAACTTATTGGACTTGACAACTTCCCAGGGGCCACTTTCAAAGTCCCAGGTACATCTAACCTCCCTATTAGCCGGCTGCAGTTCAGTTTGGAAGCTAATCAAAAAATGTTGACAAAGGAGTCGTGACCATTGGACCTAACTTGGCAGTCTATGCCTCTGCCGATGCGGCTGTCACGCTGTCTGCGCACCTGGAAGCCGAGGTGAACATTGTTTCCTGGGATATACAGCAAACGTATCCGCAGACCGATAAGTACCCGGTGGCTGCCCTTGATTCGCCAAACTATGACGGTACCCAGACTCTCGGTGTTCCTTCCATCGAGGCTTCAGTGAGTGCAAGTGGAGAGCTCGCGCTTCACCTGAAGCCCAAGGTCTCTTTCGGTATTGTATTTGATTCCCGGTGGGATGTCTCTGACTGCAGCGTGGACCTGGTCTTGGACGGCTATGTCATCTTCCACGCAGAGGCATCCTTGTCGACAGCCTCAGATAATTCCTGTCCCTTTAGTTATGGGATTGATGCGGGAGCCAATGTCTATGGACAGCTCACTGCTCCTAGTCTTTACAACTGGGGTGGGACCATGCAGGTGCCTATTGCCAGTGTTCCTCGCAAGCAGATTACCCCGGAGACATGTGCTGGCGCGAGCACTTCTGCGAAGCATTCGGTGGATTCAGAGGAATTTGACAACCAGTCTACTTCCGTTACTGATCCTTTGTCGTCCTCGCCCTATGAACATGGTGATTTCCTGGGAAGTGGAGATTCCGTGCGCGAGGAAGCACTCAGGCTGAAACAACGTGACACTTTCAGCATAGGTCCAATAATCACAGTTCCGGAAAGCTCGCTCTCGTGTCCTGGAGAGAATGTGACCGGATGCTTGGCATGCGATTCATACGGAAGCGCCTCCTCCGGCAGCCTCAAAATCCGGGACGTAGTGGAGATGGAGGAAGACTCCTGCCCATGGATACCCTTAAGCGATGGTGTCTGTACAGATACAAGTATCTCCAAGAGAGCTATTACTCCAAAATCCATGACCCTATCGTGGGCCGGTACCTTCGACTACGCCGACTATCCTGCCTGCTCTGCTTCTAATCTCGCGAGTATCAGTTCCATTTCCAAGGTAAAGAGAGATTGCCCTGCCCAGCTTCCAAATTCCAAATTTCTCATGAATCCAATCTGGGCCGGTCCCGCATGGCACTAGTACTTTCGAGTTTCTAACAAAAGATCCTCCTTCCAGTGGTACATGCCCCGGGACACGGTAACGAATGCATGCGATCCGACTATAGTCAAGTTCAACAAGGACAACGGTAATCCTACCGTGAATAAGGTGCCCATCAGTCGAAATTTCGCCAACGATCATATCTTTGAGGTTCAGCTTATATCTGACTTCCTAGAATGGCTGTGCAACACCGGGTATCAGAGCCGTTACGGTGGTATTGGAGTTCTCGACTTCATTCCCGGCTGGCAGCAGGCCGACGCAGTATGGTGTGAATATGTTTTTGGCTGTAAGTGTTGATCCCATGATCTTTGCTGCCTCGGATTCCTTTCAAGTAGCCAAAACACGAGGTTCCACAAAGCGAGATGCAACTTCAGAAATCGCTAAATCCGGACTGTAACATATGCTGATGTTATAACGCAGCGGGTGTGGACATCGGAGGGTTTGAATTCCCCCTTGATGCCCAAGACACAGAGCCAAGTAACTTCATCACGAATACTGGCACTCTAGTAGGAGGAATTAATCACCCCGAGTTAATGGCATTGTTGTATGACAGTACGAATGGTGCCAAAGGCGTGTGGGTTGGCGGCAGGCTGCCCAATTGGAAAAAAGTGGCCGATAAAGCCAAAGATACAGCAAAGGTGATCCAAACGGTATATAAGCCCCTTTAGAATCTCGATGCGATTTTAGTCAAGCTAACTTCCATCAAAAGAGCGCAAGTGTCTTCAATTACTTACAGGTCCCTTACATCACGTCAGCCTGGATGGTAACATCGAATTCGATTGAGGCCGCCTGTAACGCCTTCGACGAAAACTTTTGGGGCTCGGCTTATGCCAATGCAGCGCCAGGTACAGCCATGAACGGGCCCGCCAGACCGGCCGGGGTGACCAGCTGGGGGCTGAGAACTGCCTGGTGCTTCTGGATTGACAACCATTTGGCAAAAATCGAGAAAAACATTGGTCCGTGGTTGGACTCAGGAAAGACGAGGTTACAATCCTACACGACAGGGTCTGATAGGCTGGCATCAAAGTTCCTCGCAGCATACATGGGTTCCAGTGGGCTGGCGAGCACCAGCCGAATGCGCTTCCCCCGGGCTGCCAACTTTGCGACCACCCCACTTCCAGGAACGGCCAACAGCGCCATCACAACGAGCAGTAGATACGGCATGTGGGGTAACAACGGCTTAGGAGCCTTGGGGGTCTAATCAGACGGTATAATATTGGAACGAGACTTCTCATCTGAGGCGTGTATCGATGTCTGTATTTATGCATGTATAAACAAAGTCGTACCACCGGGTGCGAACCAATTTGAGACTTGCGGCTCAAAAATCCGGATCAAGGACTACAATAGATGGTGCAATAATGACTACAGGAACCTCATCAGATCAAGATCAATAAATCATTGCGAGCCTCTGTGCCGCCTCGTGGATTCCCACACTGCGCCAAACCCGAAACATCTCATAATCGCCAGGTTGGTCCCATTCCATATATAATCTGTAGACGGTCTGCATCGCCTCAACGGTAATCTCATCTCCATCAGTCAAGAAAAATAACACCCCTGGCCCAGTTAGAAAGTCCGGGCGGTCAAGAACCACAAAAAAAGTCTGGTAAGGTTCCCTGTGCCTGGGGTTTTCGCGATTGTATCCCTTTTGTGGAAACTTGCGGGCACTTTGTCCTAAAGCGGGCTGGGAAACAGCTACCCCCATCTCGGGTCGCGATTTTATTAACTCTCGATGTGACGACAAAATCGCGCCTAATGATCGGTTGGGGGCCGAATGAAATTCAAAGTGTACTGTTTTTCCTTCAGGGAGACTTTGCAGGATCGCGGCAGTAAAAGCGCGCCCAATCATCTGCAACGTCAAGGGATTTTCGTTGCTGTGGGTGAATGTGATATATATAATATATCTGAGTTCTGGCTCCAGGATAGGCACAGCACCCGATGTCAGGATAACAGCTCCCTTGTCGGAGGATGGCTGGATTATAACAATCTCCTCAGGCAGTGAGTCAGCTCTGCGCTGCCATGCCTCTATAACCTCCGGCCTAGGCGCTTCAACCAACTGGTTAGGGTCGCCCTCATTCTCACCCAAGCCGTAATCATACACATAATCCTCAATCACATCGTCGCGCTGGCTTTGGATGTGAAGGGAGGCTAATTCTCGACGGATATGGTAGATATCCCGGCACTTGCGGACTACAAGTTCCTCCCGTTCCGGCCAGATTTTCTCATCCCCATCCTCGTCGTCATCATGCTTGGGTGAAGGCAGGTCAACGCGAGCCTGGTGCGGAAAACAGCGATCGAAGCTGACGAATAAAGGTCCGGTTTCGGCCTCATAATCAGGGTATTGCAGATAATCGCGGAAACTGTAGGAGGTAATTACTAATATGACTCCCTGGAAGTGCCGATCTTCTCTGCTGAGGACGACTTTGGCAATTCCAGGGAAGAGAATATTATCTTGAGATGGTGAGATATCCTTGCGGTGGAAGATCTCACGTCGTTGATGCTCCACGCAGGCGAATACATCGGTTTGTGGGTTACAATAAATCTCAAATGACGGCCAGGGTGATGTTGAGATCTCACGGGATAAGTATCGGCATATAGCAATGAGATCATTCTCTTGATCGAGGGCAACAGTCGTATAGACCTGAATTGCGAAGGCTGGATGTATCGCCTCAGGTTCTGGTGTGGTTGCTTTATAGACCAGTAGAGCTGCAGGCTGGCTTGTATGGTCTGAATAAAGCTGAGCAGTCCATTGTCGTCGCTTGACCTGCGGGGTATTTTTGTTTCTGGCCATTGCTTTTTCTGGGTTGACGGGAAGGCGGTGGTAGTTGAAGATGAGAGGATAGACTGTAAATCAAATAACTAGTGCCATCTTCTAATCCCACCGCCGAGCTGACCGCTCTACTTGGAGTTTCTGCCGGCTTTCACTGATTGGTAAGGCCTGTGTCTCTTGATGTAACGTAATCGGACAACGAACTGCCGGGACAATGAACCGCCGGTGACCCTCACCACTGTAAACCTCCACAACACGCAATATTCAACCTTGCTTAATTTGATTGAATTCGAAGCTATTTAGATATATAGAGGATTTTTCTAGAGATAAAAGTCTAGAGCTTACCTGTGAGGTTTTTAATTAAGATTAACTTCCTTTTAAGCAAGTGTGTGCTGCAGCATTTAATATCAAGATTATTAGAGGCACAGGCGCGACTCGGGCGGGAAGAAGCGAGTCACATGACCAAAGTCGGTCATGTGACCTTCCCCCCCCCCTACTTCGTACCTCGCTGGCTTTCCAGCTCTTGCAGGGAGCCAGCAATCAGTTCAAAGCAGGACAGTAGCTAGTGTTACGGACCCTGTGATGGCAAGCAGTGTTCAGAGGCACGTGACTGGATCACATAACATAGCTCTGTTTGCTTTATTTATTTTACTTTATTTACTTATCTTTATTTTTTATATATATTTTTCTATACTTTCTTCTTTCTCTTCTCATGTTTAATATTCTAGTCTAGATATACTAAATAAGATATATTTAATCAGCTTTTATATAATATTAAATATTACAGCTACTTATTTCTTTCTTTAATTAATACTATATACAGCCAGCTATCCAGCAAGACTGCCAGTATTTCTCTAATATATATTTAGTAATATTAAAACAGCTAAAACAGAACAGCCTAAACTAAACTTTTAAAAATTATTAATTAATTAATTCTGAATAATAATAACTAGAGAAAGCCAAGCTGGATCAGTTTTATATAAAAAAAACTTATAATAATATTGTTACGGACCCCTGCTAGTTAACCTGCTAGTAAGGCGGACTCACCAGGCAGAAAGCACCGATAAGGGCAGCGCTCAGGCAAAACCAAACTGTTATTTAGTACAATTACGGATTGCCAATACGATGCCCGAAACGGCCTCGCACCACGTGACTACGGTATATGAACCAACACATGGTATACAACATACCATCATGGTCTACAACTACTATACTGGTACACGACAGACCCGATGGTATATGATATAGTATACAGAGAATAAAATATATAAGAACACTCTTTCATATACTTAATTAGTTCTGTTCTTTATGCTCAATACAACTATCTTTAAGTAACCATATATTTGAAAGCTTAGTTACAGAACACTCATCCGCACTTACTTATAAATAACTGCGCGGTACTATTCGGCCTTACTTCTCTTTTATTATCTATAACTAAATTATCTTCCAGATAATCATCAGTCGATACCTCCTTCGATATAATTCGGCGGTATGTATATCAACGGGGCTAAGCTAACTGGGACAGAGAAGCAATTCTAGAATTTAATATATTAAATACCAGTCAGTACAAGTATTCGCCATTATAATTATTTATTATATTAACTACCTCAAGCTCGCCACACACTCCGCAGCAGGGCTCCAGTGCCCAAGAAGAAGAATAATAGCAGAATCTAATAATATAGAAATTAATAAATATAGTTAATCAGTTATAAGAAAGTATCACTGCCTTGGAACAACGAAACCAGTTACTTGAAAATTGCTTGGCAGTTAAATCTGTCAAGGTCCAACCACCAGAGCCATTTAATAGTAATTAATTAAGGTTTAAAGCTTTCTTGACTCAGTTAAACTTATATTTTAATATAAATAAAGAAAAGCTTAAAAATAAAAATGATAAGATCTTCTTCACGTCTATCTATCTAACCGGAATGGTGTTCAATTAGTTTGAACCATACATTCGCGACTACCAAGAGAAGCCGGTAAGTAAGCAGAATAATAATATTAAAAGAATCTTTACCAGTTATACCAGATTCAAGAAACACCTTGAATAAACATTCAGAAACATCAACACAGCACGCAATACTGAACAAAAATTATAGCAATTTAAGTAAACTGGATCAGTATCTAAGTATATCTCCGAGTTCTTGCAAGTTATCAGTTACCTGGACTGGAATGCGAATATCTACATCACATAATTTAAAAAAGAACTCAAAATAGAAATCTAAGAAAAACTTATCTAGTAAGAGCAACCAGGAACATTATAATAAATAATTACAGCGGCAGTCAAGATTAATAACAAGTTATATAAGTATAATATAAAACAAAAAAAAAACTGATAGACCAGTAGGTCTATGCTTCGACAAAGTAACTAACAGAGTTACTGGATTAATAATAAACAACTAGTACAGCCTAAGAACCTGAAATATAAAAATCTTTATAAATTAAAACTAATAAAGCTGGATGTAACACAGCATCAGACTTGACAAAGTAAAGTATCTAAGAAGGAACTTGAAAGACATAAAAAAGACTATCTATATTTTAATTATAATAAAACAGACTACCAGTCAAAGAACTGTAAACAACAGTAGTAATAGTTTTAGAAGTAACTGAGAGCCATGAATAAAAATTAATCAGGACTAAGCAGAGAGACCAAAGGAGTCTATGATATTAATATTAAATTAGTAGAAATCTGGATAAAAACTATAATACTACTACAAGATAACAAGAAGCTACAGGCCACGTAATAAAAGCAACTACTAGTACCAGTAAGCAGAATATACCAAGATTAGTTAAGATAACAGATCATAATAGATAAGCTAACAGTACTACCAGAGTAACAAGAGATCCAGAACAGAATCCACTGATTTTATAAATTATTTAATTAACCAGCAGAGACTAATAATAATAAGCCAGCTTTAGAGAATAAATATTCTGGTATAATTTAAAATAAGTTCAATCCTCTGAATAAAGAATACAGTACTTAAATAGAGAATCTCAAATCCAGCAAGGAGAAATCCATTAATATATCAGATATCCTGGAAAAATCTCTATCAGGAAATAACAAGAACTGTCCGACGTGATGAGACAGTAATAAGAAAAATTAAGAATTAAATAAAAATAATATCACATACTGATTAAACAGAATTATCACTGAATGCTGAACGAACCCGGCACGATTTTATACTGAATTAAAAAAACTCATGCAGTACTGCCCACATTGGAATCTTAGATATTGGGAAGCATGGAATAAGATATGGAAGAAATATTTAGTAAGATATTCCACTTATCCAAGAATATGCGAGCACTGCGGACATGATAACAAGAATTATTATTAATAGTTACACGCGGTTAGCTAGAAGAAGGAAGTATTCAGAGTATATCCATAGTATGATAATCCAGGATATATGTATACACATTTCAAGGAAAAATCTGGATATAAAAGGCATAACAAGCTTTCTTAAATTATATATTATACTAATATATACTCCATGTACTATGACCAGAAGTACATCGCAGGATACAGACCCGAAGTATTAAATATAATTAAAATTAAATAGAAATATTGTTCATATCACAATCTAAATTATTTATGTATAGGGTATCGACGACACCTATACCATGAATTCATGCATTGGCTAGCGTGTTACGACGACCAGTATATAGCATATTACATTGCAAAAATCAAAGAATCGAGATTTCCGAGAAAATCATCTACATAAGATAAATCTAATTAGCTAGAACAGCAATTGGCAGCTACTGAATCAGGAAGATATATAAAAGTCCAGGTAACTATACTAGATTAAATAGCTTAAGTACTGGTAGACTCTGGTATAACCAGAAATTATATACACCCATGATTTATACAGCAACTGGAAATATTAAGAAAGTAAAAGACAAAGCCAGAACCAATTATAGAACTGAATAGAGAAAATCTAGAAACTCTCACGTTAATAGTTAAATCAGAGACTATATCTATAACAGTAACAGGTTATTTTAAATATATAGATTTTAATGTGATACTACTAGGACAGTATGACATTATATTAGAGATTCCATAGCTCAGGAATCATAATCTATAAATTAATTAGAAAACCAATAGTCTCTAATTTATGAATTATAATTATCTAAAACAGTAATAACAAGAACTAGGTATGGGATCTGGATCTGTACAGCCTGCTATACAGCACGAGACTGAAGCGAGGACTAAGTAATCTACTGAAAGATTGAAAATACTACAGAAATCTAATATACCAGATACCATAGAAAACTCAGAGAAAAATAGCATCTCAGAAGTTATAAAATAGGTATTAGCAGCAATGAAACTATTATAGATTAATAAGCTAATACACCTACCGGGATAAATATTAGATATACTATAAGAATATTATAAGCTATGCCTAAATAGCATTAACAGAGACTAGAATTATGTATACCAGGCTACGGGGCCAGGGAGCCAGGTCCAAGAATCTAGATCTAGTAATACAGATCAAGAAATCTAGGACAAGTGGGGACCTGAGCGTAATAATACAGAATTAAAAAGATTATAAGAACTCTGAGCTATAACTAGAAATGATCCGTGCGTTTTACTGTAATATAAAAGATTTAAGAATCTATTCAAACAGCCAGAAAAATCTGAATTATCTTAGTATAGAAAGTATGACCATACTATTCCTCTTCAGGAAGGGAAAACCCCGGGATACAGAAAGATATATCTGATATCAGAAAAGAAATCATAAATATTACAGAATTATATTAATAATTAATTAATAAAAGATAATATCAAGCTATCCAAATCATCCGTAGGACATGAAGTCCTATTTACAGTAAAAAAGAACAGAATCTTGTAATTATATATAAATTATTAACTATTTAATATACTTATAATTAAAAATCGACACCCGCTACCCTTGATCTTGGAAATCCAGGATAAGATACGAGGGGTGAAATGGTTTACTAAACTCGATATCACGGATGTATATTATTGTATATGCATCGCGGAAGGAGAAGAATGGAAAACCGTATTTAGAATAAAATACAGATATTTTAAATA